AATAGTTGGTTGCAAATGTAAAAACCTGCATCCTAGAATAACGTTCTTTACTGGAACTCCCCATAAATTTGGTTTTATAGGTAACCAAAAAAATTGGCAAAAGTTACAGTTTTTAAGGTGATGTGATCTATCGCGATGTGTCTCCCCTCCACATAGTGATAAGGACAAGAGTAGCGATCTCTGGTGCATTTGTCGCCTGACGCCCGCACTAGCCACACCTCGCACGTGAGTTGTATCTCTCACTGTCTGTCTGTCTTACTTCTGTAGGTGCATGATGACAGTATTTAGTTAACTTGTTTGATATATTGTTACTTCTACATATAAAAGATATGTCAATGACCTTTATCGGTGTAAATATCCCTGGATGGACCAGCAGTAACCGATTTTCGTTCTATGTTTTAATATAATTTGCCACTGTCAAAATTCGATCTTCTCTTTTGAATCTCTAATAATAGCTTACACTAAGTTGTTCATTCAGTTTGTCTTGGTTAGAAAGTCGGATTAAAAGACAGAAATCATCAATTTAACTGCACACTATGTAAATTTATCAACTAAATAATTTTCATTCTCAAACCGGTTATAACTTAAACGTGGTATTGGGGTACCTGCATCTACTACTCTTCATAGTTAAAGCTGGAGGGTGATCGCAATTTATTTGACTTTCAATTTAGTTAAAATAAATTACCACATTGCATTTTACTTGTGGCGTATTTAGTATTGCATTAGGGGGTGCATCATTCTGTTTTTTTCTACATTGTATTTCATATGTATCATTCACATCGTGGTGTATTATGCATTGTTTTAATTTTTTTAATAGTATACCGGTAGTCCAGAAAATAGGTGTTTACGGGACGAGTATGGTTACCATACGAGTAGACTACGTTAATAAGGCTATTTCGTTACTAGTCCTGAAAATAGGTGTTTACCGGACGAGTGTGGCCGTTCCCGTGCGGGATTACCATACAAGACTGGTAAACACATTTTGAACGATTGACGTACGATATTTTACCCCATACTACTCTAAGCTAACTTGACAATAAAAAATCCTTATATATACCCACCGACAAAAGGACTAACAATCAATACTCATAACCTCTATGAGAGGTTATGTTTTTGTTTAAAACCACTCATTGCCAAATATAATCAGCTGGTTGGTGTCCGGTAAAAACTCATTACATTACAGTAGTACGTAATGAAACCCCATTTGATTAAGCTGGCGGTAAACAGCTGATTTCTGGACTAAGTCCTTGCGTGGGAAGTTCGTTCAAACATTCTAGTGTGAAATAGTATATTTCGTACCTAGGGCCGAAAATGAGGTTTTGCCGGCTCGAGATAGTTTTTAAGTTCGAGACGAAGTCGAGAACTTAAATCGATCGAGAGCCGCAAAACCATTTCGGTCCGTGGTACGAACGCTATTTTTCACCACACTATACCCTATTACCACTATTCACCACAATAATAATGCACACTGATAGTCAACACAACTACAACTTTAAGGTTATGTGAAGAAATAATTTGAGGAATCAGCAAAAATAAAAATATATAGTTGCTAGGCAACGGTGACAATAACACAATTCTATTGAAATGCTATGGATTTTGATTATGTATTTAAAATGCATTCATGTTTTAAGTAAGTAAGCGGACAGCTGATTTTGCGGCCCCGGCCTGTAAAAACCTGCTCGGTCCCCAAATTATGGACAGCTGGCATCGCCAGCAAAACGTAACTTTCGGCCACCAATTAACGTATGTAATACAGCCAAAAACATAATAGTGTGGTGAAAAACATATTTTGGATGAGTGACGTACGATATTTTTCGCCATGCTACTCTAATCTAACCTAACAATAAAAACTTTACAAATCCGTTATATATTCCCAGAGCTGGTTCCAGACTTTTTCTAGCTATATAGCGTAAGCGAACACCATTCCGGAACCCTCACCCGTAAAAAACTAGATGGTGGTAGGCTAAGGATTATCTCTGGATAAATTTTAAAATACGAGTATAAAATGCTAACATCCGAATCTTTTGAACGCGGAAGACGATGATAATGTATACACGACCGCGGGAGACATTTATAATTTGGCCGCCACCACGGAAGACAATAATGTTTTCGTTACCGCGGGCGGAGGATATTCAACATTTTTCCGTGACCGGGGAAGCCAATAACAAAGTCTATTACTACACAAACGCGCTAAATGATCTGAATTTGACCACGATTGTGGGTGACGATGATGAGGTGGGTATATGCGACCGCGGGAGACGTGGATGCTGCCTACACGACCGCGGACCCCTTAAACCGGCCTTGTATATTTAAACCGACTAAAGGACTTAACGTTAGAAATCATATCTTTTAACTAAGGCTAATTTTTCGTTGATAACCACTCATTGCCAATTATAATCAGCTGATGTCCGGTAAAAACTCATTGCAGTACAGTAGTACGTAATGAAATGCAATTTGATGAAGCAGGATGCATACAGCTGTTTTCCGGACTTAATCATTGTGTGGAAACACCATAAAAACAATGTAGTGTGGAAATGGTATATTACGTTACTAGTCCTGAAAATAAGTACAGTACCAGACGAGTGTGGTCGTTCCCATGCGAGACGAAGTCGAATTCGGGATTACCATAGAGTCCGGTACACACATTTTGGACGAGTGACTTACGACATTTTACGCCGTACTACTCTAAGCTAACTAAAAAAAATCTGGACAAATCCTTATATTCCCACCGACTGAAGGACTAACAATCACTACTCATAATCTGATTTTGTTTATAACCACTCATTGCCAATTGTAATAAGCTGTTGTCCGGTAAAAATTTATTGCAGTACCTAGTATTCGTAATCCAATTTGATAAAGCAGGAGGCAAACAGCTGTTTCCTGGATAAGCGACAAATTTTTAAGTTATTTGAAATGGATTTAGTTTTGGATAAAACTTAAATCATGCTTAATATTAATAGAGATAGTTACATAATTTAATTAATTGAATTCGTCAGTGAATGTGTTAAAATTTTTACTTTCTGTTTTTATCTTTTCATTTGCAAACCGTCGTGGCTTCGCCTACTAAAATTTAAATTAAAAGTTAAATGTTCAACTTAATTGTTATTCATTTAACTGGTATGTTATGGTATTTTATCGAGCAATTATGGCTTTTGTCTATAACATTTTGTTTTTGTTCCATTTTATGACATCGGCATGTATGTTTCAGACACCATGGCTTCTGATATTGTGCTTGAAGCACTCGATGTTTTGGACTTCAACAGTAACTACACATCAATCAAAGGTAAACTACATTTGAGTTAGACTTACTACTAGCCTATATCTTTATGGGAATTTAACACAGTTTCAAACAATACCTCAGCCACTTGTTTAGAAAATCGCTTTAATTTGTTTCTAAGTCAAAACCGTTGCTATAATCTGTTCACAATACTTAGGCGGTTCGAGGGGAAGTTCCCCCACCACTTTTTTGAATTTAATGCATGTTACTTAATAAGCTGTTGAGCTATTACTTTAAAAGTAAGGGTCAGTGGAGAGGATAAATTTCTTCCCCTCCGCCTAAATATTGCGAACGAAGTATAATAGTTTTATTTTCAGTTACTGCACTTACACTTTCAAAAGTTATAAACTTTATTTAATGGAACAGCTGATTAGTATCAAGTAAGGCAATATGTTGTATACATATATTTTGTGCGCAGTGTTAAGTTTTAAATTCTATGATCAATGGTGGTACAATTTTTTTGTATTCTAAATTTCACCATTTTGTCATTCTCTTTTTAACCTGTTGTCCCAATGTAAAGCTCGGAAAAACGTATTAGCTGTGTTTATTTTATCGTTTCTTATTTTTAATTTTAATGTAAATATTGTGGCATTTTTGTAAAAAAAAATATAAAAAAAAGCTATGGGATAGTTGTTTATACCTTTTACATGTTTGTATATAAGACGGGGATTAAATCGCTAGTCCGAAACGCTAACCACTATGCTGAAAATAATCTGCGTTCCTATTTTTGGGTACATTAATTTTGAATTTTAACCTATATACTATGTATTTTATGAGCAATGTTTGCTTGTATGTATGTATGCTTGCTTGCATAAAGGTCTCGAAAACTGCTTTGACTATTTCCTTCAAATGTAAACAATTTATTTCTGGCCTCAAATCGTGATTGACGACAGCCACTACCTCAGGAAAATTCGTTTTTCACTACACATCTAATTAAAAATTTAACATTGGACTTATGGGTTGCTAAGTTACTATGTTGGTTGAACAAAATAACAACGAAAAAGTAAACAAACGACTTGTAACATGTGTTTATAACAAGCCATCAACAGTATAATAGCAAATTTAAAAGTACAGTACAAAAGAAAAACCCTCAGTTGTTATTATTTAGCAAGGATTTTACTGAAAATAACTCGAGGGGGGAAATAGTTCCGATCAAATACTGATTATTTTACCTTACTTTCCACTACCAAAACTTAATCCCAAAAGTACTGAGGCAATTGTTAGCAAACTTTGGTTTAACAGTCTAATAAATATTTAATAATATTTTATTCATTTACTGTTGATTATAATTCAAACAAAAACTTCAATTAGCTGTTTTAATCCAAACAAACTCTCATAACAATATTTATGCAAGTCCATTAATTATAAACACAAGTGATTTTTACCATCGACTGTAAAATAAGTTAATATGTGGTAGATTAACCAGGTTAAATTTCCATCATAATACAATTCAATTCCACTGAAACTTAGATAGTAAAAACCAAAATTAGTTGCAAATAAAACGTGAGTTTCCTTTAGATTGCTTTTACAATATAAATAAACTACATTTACTGAGCCATGGCTCGGTCCCCCGGTACTTACCGTTACTGTAACACAAGCAATTTAGTGTTTGTCAAAAGAGTTCAATTCACTATTATATAACAGATGTCTAATTGCATGATTGGCCTCACTTGAAATGCAATGGCGCTAACTTACTCAATTGAATTCGTCAGTGAATGTGTTGAGCTGTACATTGTCGGTTGTGATCAAATTCCACAATTTTTATAGGTCCCGTTGTGTAGCAATTGCAGTTAAGTGTATAATTTTGACGTTAAATTGGTACTGTAAACTGTGACAACTGTATTTAACGTGAAGAATGACTTCAGGTATGTTATTTGTTGCTTGAAAATAGTTGGTTTATTTGTCTTAGTAGTGGTTTAAGTGTCATATTTATTTTGGGTGTAAAAAAACTATGATAATAGAATCCTACAAAGACATCTTTACAAAACTTGGGAAATATCTATGAATTACATAGGTAGGCCTACCTTGTCTTATTCACAGTATTTTATAAAAAAAAAACATTTTAAATTGCAAAATGACGCTCTCTTAAAATGTTAAATGGAAATACTAAATTGTGTTTGTTGCCGATGGTTTTAAATGTGATAAAAGTGAAACTGTTACGCTAATAAATTACGAAAACATTTATATTAGTCTATCAAACATTCACAAACACCTAGCCTATCATACAAACACTGTATTAGCCTATCATAAATTCAACAAATTATTTCCCTGAAGGATTTGTCATAAATTCCATCGCTCTTATAAGGTTCAGTCCATCGATGTATAAAACCATAGACAAAAAGTTTTGTCTATGATAAAAGTAACTCTTAACAAATAATCACACCTGATTTTAATAAGGGAATAAATTGAAAGCTTAACATACAAATAAGTACAGCTGAGGTATTTTTAACATTAGGTATAATGGTAACTTCCCTTTAGAAAGGAATTACGACCTTAATTGATGAAATAATGGATAGTTTTGTGCAAGGTTTCTCGTCATGATGAACATTTTAATGGTTTATGGGGGTATGACTTAAATTTTTCTCAAAAGTTCATGGGTACTTTGGGTGTTATATATGGATTCCCCTGGCTAATGAAACAGCTGATCTTAGTCAGTATCAAAGCTACACAGATCTCACACCATTCTACATTTGGGTTATACACACCCAGGTGGCCTCTCCGTTTCAAAGATTGATAATTATTAATAATTACCTTCCCATGTGATGTGCTATATGGGCCTACAATAATTACGCCCTCTCCATTCATCATGCAGATGAATTTTCTCTTTGCGCCCACAATACACCTTTTAAAGTGGCCCAGCCATCAAGAGAGAAATTTAGGTGGTTAATTATGTGAATCTGTTGTAGTTATCAGTTACACAAGAGAGTGGATCACGATTAAATAAATAGATAAGATAACACACTATCAATCATGTTACATATGAGCTAAATAAATACGTTAACAACACTGCAGGGAAGTAACTATTATGACATTAGGCTCTTACACCTAGTAGCAAATATATCTGTGGATGGATTTATTTGTGTACATCCTAGTGCTTATGAAACCACTCGTACCATGTTGGTTCAGCGATTGTTACTGTTGCAGATGATAGAGCTAGCGTACATTGACCTACACTAATAGACGCGCACCACAAAAATGTCATACCAGCATCTCAGTTTGTATTGGATTTTTAATATTAACGTGTCATTGGGTTTGTTGTAAAGTTTCCAAAACATTTTATTCTTATGTTTTTAAGAAGCTATGCGGTTTTATAGTTATTCTCGTTAAAAAAATTAAAATAACAGATAGTGACGCTGGTTTTAAGATTCGTGAGAAATGTGAATTTGTTATGAACCCAGAAATAATACCTTAAAATATTGGTAGAGAGTAGTGAAACCATGTAGATAAACTAGTGTCAACTCAAATCAACTTGTCATAACCATATGGTTTCAGTCAGTTACCATAGACAAAAATAATTAAATCAGCTGTGAATAAGCTGTGGTGCGGTTACCATAGGTTCTGGCGCACACCGCTGGGAGCGCCACGTGGTTACGTCCTACGCGTTACGTAGCTACACGGCGCTCCCAGCGGTGTGCACCAGAACCTAGGGCGACCATGCGAACCACTGCACGGCTGACAGGTTATATTTAATTATTTTTGTCTATGGTTTTACCATAATGATGAACTTAGTACAGTTGACACACACACGCACACAGAGTGCGCTGTAGATAACTTCTTTCTCGCACCAATGTGTCAAACAATAACAGTAACTAAAAGTAGGCTGTAGCTTCATTTGCTGTGTTTCCAAGAACATGTAGTACGCAAGACAAAAAGAGTAAAAGTACCACAGTACACCATGTGAGAAGAAGGCTGAAAATTAAAATTTGTTCTCTTTCGTTACTAATCCATTAAAGGTTGTCATCCGTAAATAATACTAATAGGTCAGTAAAATGTCCAAAGTAAACGCTAGAAGGCCTACTTTAGATTTATGGCTAATAACATTGGCCAAACAAGATTTTTTCTTGAATTGAAAGGGTCTTAACGAATTAGAACAAGAGATTGCATGTAAACAAATGCATGCATTACCGGTACCTATTTTAGGGAGTATTTTCTTCAAGGAGAAAAGTCATATCTACGAACACTATTTGAAACAATACAGTTTTTGAATTTACAATACTAAGTAAATCCAATGTAAACACAAGTAAATAGATATATGCAAAAAATAAAAGAGTTTTCATAAGTTGAAAATACCACGTAAAACTATCTCACACACTGGTTAGTTAATTCTTAACATATAATCCAATAGATTACAGTAAATGCATAATAATGTGTACTAGAGGTCGTCCAGTACTGTAGTCGAAAACTCGACCAAAAACATGTAATGTACAGACTTTTGTTTTCACCCAACGCTGTAAATAAAACATGTGATTGGAATTTCTTCCATTTGTTTTGATTTTCTGTTTATATCTCGTTGTTATTCATCATCATCATAGCAACCTATTAAGCCCATGTTAATGTTTTAAATGTTGAATTATTTTTTTGTGTTTATTTTGGAGCTTATTTTAATTGACGAAGGAATTCTGCACATCTACAGGAAAATATCCGTCTAACAGTGAGTAGATTTTCCCTGCGATGCACACGAGCTGAGAAAAAGGTTTTAAATAAACATGCTTGCTTATTAAAATATAGATGTGTATAGCTAATCAATAAATGCGTATTTAAACAACTTACAATTGGACACAAAGAACTCTGATACAAAGTAGGACTCGTCATGGGACAAGTGAAGGCACAAAGCGTCAATTACTGTTCATAAAACGTCTCATTGAGGGCAACCCACTGACATACAAACAAACACACCTGCAGGGATACACATGAGGCTTTGAACACATAAAACAAACAAACAATGAATATTAGAACAGAAACTGTAGGCCTATGGATTAAAAACATCAAAATATTACGTAACTGGCCCGCTATTCTAAAGGCCGTAGGTTGGACGTTTTTTTAAACAGTTCCATTGAAATATATCTATCTAGATTACTAGCAGAGAACCCGTCCTTCGTACGGGGTTGGCATGAAGTATAAAATGCTTATTGCAGTTACACTCAAGTTTTAAATACCACTTCTCCTAAACAATAGGGGAAAATAAATTATTAAATATCCGCAAAATATCACAAATCATTCATGAAATTAAAAACATAAACATAATTGTAAACAATCCTACTTTGACAGTTCTCATTGCGTATCACAGTTTTTTGTTGCTGCTTAGTTCAAATTAGCTGTGTTTAATGCAAATAAACGATATCAGCATTCTGGCACATACTTTCTCCCATAAGTTTGTCAACAACCTTTATCACCAATGAACCAGATACTACGCATATAAATGCAAACAAACGCATTGGAAACATTACACACCAATATACAAACAAACGAGATACAAAAGCGGAGATGAGAAAAACGCAATTGTGACCTATGATCACCTTAATATACAAACCGAACTCGGTACACACAAAAACACACGTATATTCGTTACCATACACACATTTAAGTCAAGGATTTTTCGAATAATTATTCTTAGTCGGCTTCTTCGAAATTGCCATTTTAACCTTCTTTTACCTCAGTTTGATGATAACATTACTCAACTGAGGAAGTAAGCGTCATAAAAAAGCAAACTTAGTGACTCGTGTTTTGGCGGCAAACAGTGGTTAACCGTGAGTAAAGACTAGCAACATGATGCTGCGCAATCCTAAATAAATAATCATGACATGCCATTCGCGTGTTTATTTCCTTACCAAGCGTAATTAGTGTTATATTTACTTACTACATACTAGTTGTAATAAAGTTTGTAAAACAAACCAAAATCAGGCAGCATTTGAAACAAATTCATTGTTATTCATTTTTATGAAGACGTAGAAATTTAGAACTATACGGAAGTTGTAAAACTTAATTACAAGAAATTCTTTGAAATCATGTTTTGCCAAATCCTGTATTTAAACTTTGAATTTAAATTTTAACTCGTTATGCATTTGAAGGTAGGATGTAATTAAATTATATGGATTTAACGTGATATTAACACAATTATTTTAATACTTCAATTTTAAAAGGCTTCAAATAAAGACCTCTTTGTTAAAATAATAAGAATTTGTAGACTTGATAAACGTGTTATTTTTATAAACATTTATTCAGCGAGTTTACCATCTTCCTTTAAGCTTCATCTTTACTAACTGGCACAGAAAATGTCTTTAATTGACGTAGACAAACGTGCATCTGTCATTAATGATGGACGTTTCCTTATGGCTTTGGTAGTCAAGTTTTTATTCTGACTAAAAAATAGCACCTCCGCAACAAAACGTGCAGACCAAGCGAATTTCCATATATTATGATGATTGGATTTTCACTTAAAGATCTTTTTACGCCGGCGTACTAGACGTCCCAAATATATGTATATGTAAATGTATTTCTTTTATTATGTCACATTCATTTATTACTAGCAGTTACCCGGCGCGCGTTGCTGCACTAATAACTATTATTTAAACTAGTGCACCTGTTGCTCGAAATCGAGCAATTGCAAATTATTACAGGCGTAACTTCAAAACGAATAACAGTCATAATTTAGATAATGTAATCAATCACTCCACTCCAGTTATCGGAACTAAAAACGAGCTCACTCTGAAAACAAACGCCCACTTGTGTGTCATGTGTTTACTATGAACAGATGTAATAAAATTATTCGTTTGTTTAAGTAAACAAAATCTTTTCTTCATAAGAAACCCATTGGGATGTTGATGGCCTGTGGGGCAAAGCCCGGGGACTTTTATTATAGGAATTGGAGAAAGGGGGCGTTTACACAAAAAAAAATGCTAAATTTTGACACATCGGTTGTAAAAATCCGTCCATTATTAACGGAGGACTAGTGTTTCGTAGAAACCACCTTCACGTATTATATATAAGGATGGTAATTTGTTCTTTTACAATCTATATCTTTATATATTTATTAGGTGTGGACAATATTGTAAACTGTTGTATTTTGCTACTTTATGGATATATTTTGATCAAACTTGGCAAATTTATTTATTTTATACTAAGCTATTATATTTTATATTATATTATTATTTTATTATATATTACAGTATTATATTCAGGGTGAATTTTAAATGAGTTCCCCCCCTACTTTTTTCTACATTTCTTAAGATATCATCTCCGGACCACGTCAGATCATTGTTGAGTAGTAAGTATTTCATTTTGACTGGGTGTACATTTTTGGCCGCCATCTTGGATCCGCCATATTGGATACAAAGTTTTTTTTTCAAATGTAAAGGTAGGGTTGTGATCCATTATTTCAAACAAGAATTTTACGCTGATTACAATGCCGCAATTAGTTTTTAAAAATCTTGATCCGTTCTAAAGTTATGAGGACTTTTTATAACTTTATGTCTTAACTGTTTATAAAGGTGTATACTTATCTTTATCTAACACTATTTTGAGATTATGGGCTTATTTTGTTAATGCACAATGTTAAAATGGGCTAAAAATAAAGTTATAAAAACTCCTCATAACTTTAGAACGGATCAAGAGTTTTAAAAACGAATTGCGGCATTGTAATCAGCGTAAAATTCTTGTTTGAAATAATGGGTCACAACCCTACCTTTACATTTGAAAAAAAAACTTTGTATCCAATATGGCAGATCCAAGATGGCGGCCAAAAATGTAAACCCAGTCAAAATGAAGTACTTACTACTCAACAATGATCTGACGTGGTCCGGAGATGATATCTTAAGAAATGTAGAAAAAAGTAGGGGGGGAACTCATTTAAAATTCACCCTGTATATATATATATATATATATATATATATATATATATATATTATATATATTTGATATAGCCTATTATTATATTATTATTTTATATTATTTTATATTATATTATATTTTACTAAAAAATACACTTTATCAATTTCCTTGTAGCAGCAAACCTAGGTAGTACTCATTAAACCCAATGTTATTAAAATAAATTTAATTGAAGATCAATTCAGACAAATGGAAATTCGCTTAGACCGCAGGTTTGCTGTGGCGGGGGTATTTGTTGTTCAGCCTGTCTTTAGAATATTTGGCATAACTTAGTAGGTATACATACCTTGTGAAGTCTCATCATTCAAAATGTGAACCAAATACTTTTTGTCTATGGATGTGTGACAAAGTTTTTGTGCTGTTGCGTCTTTCTTCTTCCCCTTTGTCCTTTTATCTTCATTGTCTTGGTCTTCTTACTTTTCTTCCCCTGATACTACTTCATGTATACCATATGATTTAAAAATAACTGTTGTTTGGAATTTCCAAAATTTAAATGACTATTGATCAACCAATTTTTCTATGTTTTCATGCCCATTTATAGCCATTCCTGATTTTAACTCTTCACTTTTAAAATTAGCAAAACTTTTCTTTCAGACAATCCTTCATCCTTGAATAAAACATTTATCAAAATAACTTATCAACTTGATACTTACAAACAACAATCCCGTTCTTGATTTATTTTTAATATGTTTTAAGCCTCACTTCTATTTCTGCCTGGGCCCCATGACCTGTTGAGTTTTTACTTTGGGTTTTTACTGTTACTGCCATAGAATTGAGAACACACAGTTATAGAACTGACTTTGCTTATGATCCATACCGGTATTTTTCTAGTATTCGTGGGTAAAACCATAAAACTCTTGTCCATGAATCAAGCTCAAAAACCAATAACACTAACTATCTTGTTGCTGGGAAACAACTTGCACTAATATTAATTTAAATTCAAACCATATGTTTATGAGAAGTCCAAATGTAAAAATTATTTCTTGACGATGGTGTGGATATAACAAAATAAACAATTGATATGTTGTCAGATCTACCACAAAATTGGAGCGTCACAGTAGATGAATGGCCTCTGATGTCTCAGCCGTGGTCCATGTTGGCGATCACTGCTGTCTACCTGGTGTTTGTGCTACAGCTGGGCCCGCGTGTCATGGCCTGTCGAAGTCCCTTCAAACTTCGCACACTGCTCATGCTCTACAACGGAGTGCTTGTCGTCTTCAGCCTCTGGTGGATTCTTAAGGTGATCTAATAGTTTTATTTCAAGTTAATATTTCACCATCCAATAACGCCTGGATTGTTTTAAATCAATGAATTGTTCCTAGTTTTAGTTTGAGCTTTTTATTTGTTAATAACAGCTGATTTTTCACTTTATCAATATCCAACTAAGCTTTTTAGCACATTATACAGAGCTTCATGACGACCTTTTTAAGTAACATTTTATTCGGTTTAAAAGACATTTCAGACAATGATTTTCTCTGGACTCCAAGGAGTTTAGTTACACACAACAAACAAACTAGGGGCATCCTCAGTGTGTGTGTAAAAGAAGGTTTGTTCGTCAATACTGTCTATCATTTCATGTAAAAGAAAGTACAATGAATGAAAGAAAAGTTTTAGAGAAAAATGTCTCTTGTTAGAAGTTAAGAAACAACTAGTTGTTTCTGCACTATCTTACTAATATTATAAATGTGAAAGTTTGTGTGTTTGTTTGTTTGTTTGAAGTTCAATCACGCATTAACTACTTGTCGGATTTTGATAAAATTTGGTATGATGATAGCTAACATTCCCGATTAACATATAGACATATTCTTATCTCACATATCCTTTAGGGCTCTGTCCCAGTGGCTCTAGAGTTTTCCATGTTAACCTTATTAGTATTCAAGGAATTGAAGAATTTCGTCAGCTGTTTCAACTACAAGTTGGTTCTATGATATTGAATAACATTAAAAAGTTATAAGGTTTACCAACAGGGCTCAGCACTATTAATGTTTTTGCATCTATGACATCGATCTCTAACAGAGATCGATGATCTATGACAACAACAACAGCTAATTTTATGAACCAAGCAGCAACAAAAAAGCTGTGATATACAATGATAATTTTTTTCTATTTGTTTAGGTTTAGTGGTAGAACGTTTTATAGCTAAGGTCGGTGTGCTATACTATACTATAGTATACCGTAAATTAAAAGATCCAAACTTTCAAACATTCCAAACTCTACACCGTGTCCTCTGCCAATGCAAACGCAAAGCATGAGTAGGTATAACTGCAATAAGAATTTTATACTTATACGCCAACCCCGTACGAAGGATGGGTACTCTGCTAGTATTGCATAAGTTTACCAGTTTTTGTTTATCTTGGTGCTAATTTCAATGTTATTTGTTTTTTAGGCAATTTTTGAACTAAGGCTAAGCTCGAAGCTTTCTTGCCAGTCCAGAAATGTGGCAAATGATCAAGAGAATTACAGGGTAAGCATGAACTTGTAATCAGCAGTTTTTACCTGTAAAATCAATTATTACTGAATGCTTCATTGTCAAATTGTTTTTAACAGCCATCCAGTGATAATCCGTAGGTTGTACATTTGTACATAGACCTATGCCTTGAAATGAAGTCTGAAACCTCGCAAAAATATCTTTTCCTCTAAAGCTAAAATCCAAGGTTCCAAGCCACTGAAGCCCATATCCACTCAAAGAAATGGAAAGGCAGTAATTAAGTGTATCTAACAGTCAATCTACCAGTATCTATACCTCAGAAAAGGCATCTAAGCAGCATCTACTGCTTGCCTTGAACTACTCTGTTGTTAGTTCTATATAGCCTAGTTGGATCCAACCATGAAAACAAAACACTCCCAAGAAAGAGAAACCACTTGAAAGGCACTTTGCAATGATACCTTACTTTAATTACCTCCATGAATAAGGAATCTTAGAAGGTTTTTTAGCTTTGTTAATTCTCTTCTACTTATATCTACTCCTCCTCTAATGACTCCAGATGCCTTTCATTATTTGATCTTTCCAACTCATTCTTTGTCTTCCAAGTGGTCAACTACCTTGTGATACTCCTTGGAATATATTTATAACAATTGAAGTATCTTCTCTTGTCCACTCATGGCCTAGCCATACAACTGCTATACACATGTAATATGTAATTAATGTGGCCATCACCGTTTGGGCTCTTCCTTTATCAGTACAATTAGTACATTTACGCCACCATACCAGAGCTAAAAGTGCATGGCTGCCCCCATAAGCTTGTATCCTCAGTATCACACTTCTCTGTGTCTATACTATAAGAAGGTGGAAAAAAAAACTCCTAGTACAGAGGGTACTAGGTGAGGGGAGAGGTGTTGGTTGGGCACAGAATGTGCCTGTAAGGACAAAGAATGAAGCTGACAGCAGGAAGAGGAATCCGAAGATTTTCCAGGAAAGCAGCCTGGTGAATAAGTCTCTGACTACGGCCAGGGGTGGTGGTGGGACCGCTGGGCTTCGGCCAAACACCTCTGCGTCTATACTGGTTTATTTCCTGAAGTTAAGGAACTCAAGTTTTTCTCAATGAAAAGAAAACTAACTTATTATAAGAATTAGAATACTGAGACACTTATAAACAGAGAAATTATAAACACCTAGTTTTTGTAATGACTCGAACACCTAACAGTTAAATAATGGAGAAAAAATAGGATATGAAAAGCAATGTTTGATTAGCTTTTTTATTGTAAAATCCTAAGCAAGTCATAATTTAAAAGTTTTAACTAATATTTTCTACTTTCCAGATGAACTCATTGGTGTGGTACTACCTCATGTCAAAATTTGTTGAGCTTTTAGACACTGTGAGTATTTTACACATAAGTATGTGGCACGATGTATGACTTGTTCCAAAAAATGTGGGTTAAGCTTTTAATGAAATATATTATTGGTTTAGGATGGTTTCAGAATACCTGAGAACCACTTCGTTCAGGGGGGCCCAAAAACGGATATATCCACTCAAAATTCAAACTGGATAATTTTGACAAAAACAATACTTTCTCCCAAAGTATAGGGGGAGAAAGTAAAAGGGTGATACCAAAATGGGTAGCAGCCCCATTACCAGGAAGGGGTTTTGAGGTAGGTTGGAGCTTTAAATTAATTACTATTTATTAGATATTATTTACATGACCTTATCAGTATTTACTTTCCTTAAAGAATTGTAAATGATCAACATAAATAACTACTTTTTACAGGTATTTTTTGTGCTAAGAAAGAAGCAAACCCAAGTCTCGTTTCTTCATGTCTACCACCACACAAATATGGTTATATTTACCTGGGCCTTCCTCAAATATGTGAGAGGTAAAATATGTTTTGTTAATTTATTATTTGTACACCTGTAGTTTTTAGGGAAAAACTAGTGGCCTGTAGCATCTTGTAGGGACAGAAGACTCTAAAAAGCTCAAATAATGCAAATTATTGTTATATTTAAACAAAACCAAAACTCTGTACACCACATCTTTTGTGTGAAAAGTCTCTTTGTTTGGTTGTTGTTACAATAAATAATTTGATTTCTTCCAGAGATTTAACTCTGCTAAAGACAACAAACATAATAAATTATAATATTGAGAGTGAATAGTGATTTACTAAGAGTAGCTTTGGCATTGTCATTGACTAGTGTTAAGAATAATAAAAAACACTTTTCTGATTGGAATTTTGGAAATTGTCTTGGTGCTTATGAAAAATATGAAAATGCATATAAGGGTAAAAATGTTTTACACTCGTTATCTTTGTTGGACTGTTCCTTTAGGTTTTGGCAATTAGGATGTACGTCACAAACAATTTTGTATTTTGGTAATGATGTTCTAAAGCAAACTGTTAAGTCAAAGAATAAAATAATCGAGGTTGGTCATATAGTTTTCTCCCTTAGCATATTTTTACCAAGATTTCTTTGTTCTCTGCAGGAGACCAGATCCTGATGATAGGATGTGTCAACTCAGCTGTCCACGCTGTCATGTACAGCTACTACTTCCTGGCAGCTCTCGGTCCCAAGTTCCAGAGACTGCTGTGGTTTAAACCCTACATCACTTGGATCCAGATGGTATACTTTCTTCATATATAGTAAAATAATTTTTGTTTACTAATCGTAGTTATGTATACTGATTGTTTAGTGTCCATCAAACGAAGAGGACAAAATCCCCCTCTTGCTAGAGGCCTACTCTCTATAGCTATATCCCTTTAGGCAATTTAGGAAAAATAATTTTGAAAAATGATATTATTTGCTGTGCATGCCAAGAACTAAGTGGACTTTAATAGCCGGGCATCGGTGCAGAATTTATTTTTATCAGCTTGCAGTATGCACAGAACAGAATTGCCTGTCTCCAGCTAAGTTCTCTCCCCGCCTTGCTATAGTATTCCCCACTATAAGCAGATTCTTTTAACGCCGGAATCACGTGGCACGCATCTAATATGTGTAACGTCGACTGCTTGTCCCAGTTTAATCCTAAGGATCAGGATTAAGGAATAAGGTCGCCAGTTTGATCCTAGGGAGAGTCTTGATGGTTTTATAATAAACTCAGCTCTCCTTGATATTGGGATTTGTAATAGATGGTAAATAACCAGCTGATCATACTCAGTAACAAAAGTGTCTAGTGAAACATGTGGTGAATCGTCCAAAGGTACTGTAAGACGAGGTAACTAGCTGGTCATTTAGTATAAGAATCTAAAATGGATATTAATACCTAAAATAACTGGTAAACAGATGTCCATATTTTTCAGGTACAATTTGTGTTCCTGATATGCTACTTGGGCCAACTCCTCGTCTTTGGTTGTGACACTCCTAGAAGATTCACACAATTTGCCGTAGTAAACACCCTAAGCTTTCTTATTCTGTTTGTAAACTTTTACCACAAAACGTACAACAGAAAGAAACTCAAGCAGTAAATAGGATTTGTTAGAATTCCACATAATGTTGAGAATCTAAAGACTTACAAGTTCGAAAGCAAAATATATTTTCAAACCTTTGAAGAGTTTCTCTTCACTGTATGTTGTAGAAGTTGTGAAGTAGTGAATAGTTGCAGAAAATGCCAAAATGGTGCCACGCTTAAAGATAATAATTGTATACAATAACTTATCTACTGAAGAAAATTATTCAAATTTAAAAGAGATAAACAATAGCTAATTTACAATCACACCATACCTTCTTTAAAGGTAATAACTGTTTGATAGTTATGTGGTCTTAATTTTTAATGCCTACATGGATGACAAATAATTAATGTAGACTACTGTTATCAAGCAAAAGCTTTTTTTTGTAATATAATATTATATTATCAATGGTCAGGGTTTGTCTCTTATAGGCTACTTCATGTTTGGTATAATGTATTCTGAGAAAACAACTGAACTATTAAGACTGAATTAATTCAATTGAAAGATATTTGTCATCTCAAGTTAAACTTAAAAATACCTATGATGCGTAATAGAAAATATAATTTTTAACATCACACAGTACCATTAGTTTTTTTTTAAAAAGATTTTCATTTTTAGTTGGTAACCTACTTATTTTATACATTTCTTAAAGCGTGATAATGCTTCCCTCAGAAGAACTAAAATCATTGCTTAAAAAGTTATCATTCTCTATCAATGGTTGTAAATAGAATCAATTTCTTGAGAGTAATTTCATATGTTAAAATGTTAATGTTTTAATATTTAAAATTTTAATCATCTAAATTGTCCCAAATTCCACATTGGTCAGACTGGAAGAACATTTTCATGCAGATTCAAAGAACATATCCAAGCCGTAAAATCAAACAATAACACATCCCAACGCTCAATGTATGCAGAACACATTTTATTAGAAAATAATCACAATTATGGCAAATTAGAAGAATGTGTCAAAATTCTAAATTATGAAAAAAAGGGTGAAAAAATGGATATAAAAGAAGAGTTACAAATATACCTACACTCAAAAGAATACGGCGACCAAATTCTCAATGTAATGCAAAAACAAAAACAAAATCCAATACATGAAAAAATCAGACAAATCAGGGAAGAATCTTGCACATTTACATGTTAAAAAATACACCTAACCATTTAATCAAAATTTAATATGAATTCAAAACATATGTTATTAACTATTTATTTATTTTATTTGTTTACATACTTTTATATAGGTAGCTCATACTGTGATCATGGCCTTAGTGCCGAAATACGTATCAGTTTAAATAAAAATGAATTTCAGGGTACTCAGGTTTTTATTATTTCGCTTATTAGTTAAAATTTTAATTTGATAATGGAAAATTATTAATTACAACTTATTACTTTTTGTAACTAATGGACTGGATTATATTTAGTATTTGATGAATATATATTATTTAGTTTTGTATTTAGACTTAAGTTAGCTTAGCTTTAGCTTTCAGTTAAAATAAATGTGATCTAGTTTTTAGATTTCGTATAAAGGTTATCATGATGTTTGTTAAGCAATGTTAATTTTTTCATCCAAATGTAAAATCTGAAGACAATTTTGATGTTTTTCATGTCTTGTAGCATTTGAGGTTACATTATCAATGTGCTCCAATTTTTATAAATTTAGGATAAAATTTATATTTTTGCGATTCCCCTATTGTGTATAATATCAAAGGACAATCTATAGGTTAGGAGGTTGTAATTTTTCATATTTTGTTTACTTGAACCTGCCACTCTGACACTACACACAGAAATTAGTTTGTCGTAATGATTTGACACATTAAAGTGTTACAGAACATGAAAATACCTTTAAATTGTTTTCAGATGCTAAAAAACTACAAAAAAAACTTTTTTAGAAACTAATAATACCCCTGCCGAAGCAAGCCTGCAAACCAAGCGAGTTTCCAATTGCCTTATCTGGTTTTTAACAAAAATATTTGCTTAAAAATGTCATATCGGTTCCCTTTTAAAATATCATTAGGTTTGCAGCAACAGGGAAGGTAATAAAGTGTTTTTCTTTTTAGTAAAATGTCAATAAATATATCAGTAAATTAACTACAAAAGTGTTTTTATTTTTATTTTATCTGTAACTATTGAGCTAACAACAATGCTTCAATATACAATATTATTTGTTTTTTAAGCTCTACAAAATGGTTTGGATAGAAATTGCATTTTTATGTTTAGAGAGTCAAAAATGAGAAGAGTTCTTTTTATCCCATAAAACCCCATTCTCACAATAAAACAATCATGCTGGTTCATGAGCTCATTCATAGAAACTTAAGTTTACATGTTTGTACCATATTTGATCAAAATCAGATAATTTTTACTCGAGTTATCGTGCTAACGGATACATATATGGATTTGAATGAATGGTGTTTTTGGCCTCTAGGGACCTCAAAACAAAAAAGTAAATCAGTCTCAGGTCTAGGTCTTACCATGTGACCTACGGTATAGCTTATTCCTTATATGGGAAATTCGTCAAAACTGTATTTCTATACTGTGCTATTTCGTTAAATTGTAATTTGTAAAAATAGAACTGACATTCAATTGTAGATAGCTGTAAAGTAACTTAAGTAGTGTATAGGTAAGATAAAAACTCAATCTGTTTTGCTTTAAAGATTTGATCTTTAAATACATACTAAACCTAACATATTTTGTAAATGTTTACAGTATAATTGTCATAAGAGTATACAGTTTTGATCATAAATAGAAGGAGTGACTGTAAAGATTGCAATAGTAGAGATTTCTAATTTCAGCTGTTTACTAGACCTTCTCTGAGAACCCCAGAATCCTTTTCCTGAAATTAAAGAATTGGGTAATTATAGAGAGATAAACAAAAAAGATCAACAAGAAAATAAGAGTAAAATGGTTAAAGAATAGATGTAAATAAAATGTTATATTTACAGTTCTACAGTAAGTAACCTGTATTCAGTACCTTTTGCCTTGAAGAATTGTTTGTAATAACCTAAGTATGCATAATCTGGGAAAAAACTGTGAGTGATACCTAAATGAATGTATAAACACACGTACAATATGCCATTGTTTGAGCAAATACATATGTAAATAATAAAATTAATAAACTATACCACTTTACAATTGCTGCTTCTAATTTAACTTTGGTGGATGAAAAATCCAATGAACCCTTTTTAACAAATATTTTGGATTTGGCACAAATCTGTGACTTATATTGCCTTAAATCATTATCTTTTGAACAAATTACCAAGAATATTCAACATTTGGACCCATATCTACGTCATTGACCCTAAACATTCTGTTTAATTACACATAAAATCAAGAGTCGCCAGGAGTCAATAATTTTGCATTGTTGTTGACCATCAGATGCCAGGGTAAACAGTGGTTATGTTAGCGCCGATCAGCAAAAACATGCGTTCACGTAGAAGCATATCAATCATGCACCGTAAGCTTGATTACCGAGCAGCAAATTTTTTTTATATTTTCCATGTGTATTACTTTTCGGATTTTTACAAGATTTGTTTTTGAGGTTGAAAAAAACCACAGTTTAAGACAAAATATATTTATGTAGTTTGAAAAAAATTAAAAAAGTAGGTAGCAAATCACATCCGCGTTTTCAATAGCTTTAAAATGAGATGTTTTGCAACTTTTCATCTTTATAAACAATGCCGTAATATGCTTCTACCATTAAAATTGCCCTTATGGGCAAAAAATCCGGTCCTGCCGACTCTTAATTTAAACTTAAATGAAAAATTCGTTTTAATATTATAGATGTCATTCTTACCTGTTCTGTGAGTGTAGATAGAGACCACTTTCCATCTCCGTCGAATTTTAAAATTTGGGAATGGAATTTCCTGTAATGAAAACAAAATGTTACAACTTTTCATAATACCCCAGTCACAGCAAACCTACAGACAAAGCGAATTTCCATTTACCTGGTTGAATATTTAGGCAACTAAAATATTCCCTTAAAATGGACAGATTTATTTTCTATTCAAATAAAATTAACTCTAACTAGTGTTTAGGCACAATGAAGGTAATAAAATGTGTTTTTTATTGTAATATAAACAAACAAATTTAACATATTAAACTAATTTTCTTAAATGTGATTAAAATATATCCCCAAAGAAGCAAAAAAATTAATAACAGTTAATAACAAAAGTGTATTTATTCTACATAAAAACAACATGGAAATTTTAAAGTTATAGTTTTTGAACTTTTTCTGTAGCCATAAGGCGCACAACAAAGCTTCATATCTATCTATATATTAATAGGCAAGCATGTTTCTTTAAAACCTTTTTTCTCAGCTCGTGTGCATCGTAGGGAAAATCTACGCATACCGTTAGAAAGCTATTTTCATGTAGGTGTGCAGAATCCCTTTATAAATTTAAATAGGCTCAAAGATAAGCACAAAAAATGAGTTTAAAGATTTGAAAAAATTAACATGGATCTTATGCGTTGCCATGCTGGTGACGAAATAACAACGAAATATAAACAGGAAATCAAAACAAATGGAAGAAACTCCAATCACATGTTTTATTTACAGTGTGGGGTGAAAATAGAGAAGTGAGTACATTACATATTTTTGGTCGAGTTTCGACCACTGGACGACCTCTCGTATACAATGAATACTAAACTACCTATTTGGGTTTTTTTTAGCTCTAAGAAATTGTTTGGAAATATATTGCAAAATTTAATGTTTTGGGGTCCAAAATGGGAATAACCAATTTTTACACTATAAACACACCCCCATAAAACCCTGTTCCTTCAGGCCGATCATGGTGATTTACAAACTGTTCATATAAATGGTCTTGTTTGTACCAAATTTCATTAAAATCTAATGATTTTAATCAAGCAATCATGGTAATGGACACATACAGTCCCGAAACAGTAAAATATATTTTTTTAGCGAATTTCCCTATAGGGAAGTAGCTATTACCGTAGGTCTCATGGTAAGACTTAGGCCCGGGACCGATTTACTTTTTCATTTTAATGTCCCCAGAGGCCAAAAACACCATTCGTTCAAATTTTTATATATGTATATATATATATATAGGTATATATATAGATTTATATATATATATATGTGTCCGTGAACACGATAACTTGAGTAATTTTCATCCGATTTTGATGAAATTTGGTTTGAAGGTGTAAGGCGGGATAAACTTGAATGAGTTCGCGATCCAGCATGATCGGTCCATGGGAACAGGGTTTTATGGGGGGTTTTATGGGGTAAAAATTGGTTTTTCTCACTTTTTACCCTCAAAACACAAAATTTCCCAATTTTTCTCTAAACCTTCTTAAAGAGCTTAAAAAACAAACAATTCAGTATATCAAAGTGTTTTTGTACGGTTATTGGTTACGGAGAAAACTAAAAAAATTGTAAATTTAAAATTCCCATGTTATTCTTATGGAGAATATTGTAAAATGTTGTAGTTTGTTTGTTTATAGATATATTTTGATCAAACTTGGCAAATTTATTTATTTTATAGTAAGCTATCAATATTTTACTAAAAACACACTACTTTATTAGTTTCCTTGTAGCAGCAAACCTAGGTACTCGTTAACACGTTCGCTACTGAGCGTCGCATATATGCGACGCCGCGGTCATTGCCACAGACCAAGGTATACATTTGAATCTTACACACAGACCGGCTGTCACTTGGTTAACAGTACACACAGACCACGGGTGAAAACCTGTAAAACAGTGATCATTTACATTGTAATGTGCTACAATCGTGTTTGTAAATAATTTATTCTTGTTTTTTGTATTTTTTTAACCTTTTGTAATGTCGCATATTTGCGACGCCCGGTCTACAGCAGAGACAATAGTGAAAATTATCATAGTATTCTTGAAATAGACCAAACGTCGCATATATGCGACAGTTCATTTTCGTTTGTGTTTTGAGGTAAAAGTAAGTAAAAAAGACAGATATTTAAAAAAAACAGTTTATAACTGAACAAATATAAAAGCTACAGAGGATAATGCATCATACATACTGCATACATATATACGGTGATGCAGAAAAGTAAAGACCGGTTTTTCCAATTATCATATGACGTCACCAATCATCATATCCACAGACCAAGCGACGCAGTTGTGCGTCAGACATCTCTGTAGACCACTGCAGGGAATTCAGTGCCTTCAAATAGACCGTTACAAAGATATAAGCATTTTAATAACATTAGAACCCCGACGCAAATATGCGTCGTCAGTCTATTTTAATGTGACTAGCCGTCGCATATATGCGACGGCAGTCTATGCGTGGAAACCGGCCGTCGCATATGTGCGTCGCTGGTCCATGTGAATGAAAAATTTCGTACTATTGCAGTAGCGAACGTGTTAAACCTAATGTTATTTAAATAGATCAATTGAAAATCAATTCGGCCAAATGGAAATTCGCTTAGACGGCAGGTTTGCTGCGGCGGGGGTATTTTATAATGAAGATAGAGCTACCAAACTTAGAACAAAGTTACTAGTTTGGTCATGAAAACTGTTTTAATTCAAAATTCAGTGCTGGGCTATTTGCTCAGTGTGACAGCCCGCAAGGAGTAAGATGAAAATCTTAAATAAACATCATATTAAAGGTCTTTGTTAGTAAATCACAATGCTGCAAAACACAAACTCAAATGGACAATCAAGTAAAAAAATGGCAGCCTTTCTAAGATTTCTTGAAATTGCTATGCAATGATACGGTACCTCCTTAAAATACCCGTTTTAAGTCGGAAGAAAATCATAAATTTTAAGCATAGATTAATATATAGATCAAATTAAATTAAAAAGTTTTATTATTAGAATACAATACCGTAAATTTGAGCTCAAAAATGGTAGCCGTTCAATGATTCAAACTTGCAAATACAAGAAATCTTTGAGCCATTTTTGACTGAGTTTTTCTTTTCAGCTCAAATTTGTGGCATTCAATTTTACTAACAAAGACCTATAGTTAATATTTTTTTAGATTTCCCTCTCACTCCTCATGGGCTGTCTCCCTAACCAGATAAATAAAACCTCAGTTTTTTATGAGTATCCTAGGTATACCAAATTATACGGTTTTATATCAAATAGTTTAAAATATATTAAACCATTCCTGGACTTGACTAACACACTGTGTATATATACAAATTCCAAAGGATGGTGCTTTTGGCCTCTTGGAAAGTAACAACGGAAAGTAAATCGGTCCTAGGTTTAGGTCATGAGATCTACATTAACAGGTTATTCCCTATTTGGAAATTTGCTAGAAAGCAAAAATTACGACCACTCTTCAATTTCTACTGGAATATTTTTACTAAAAAGAGTTGAATTAAATGAATGAGTCCATTTCAATTGACTTTAGTAGTCGCAAGTAATATAATCCTACAATATTCAAAAATAAGATCGTTGTATTTAAATGTGCTTCATGTCTAGTTACATTCCAGTGTGCTGATACTAATTGAATGTTTTGTATCTCATTTGACTGTATGCAGATTGTTCAGTACATATTTAGAGCACATACTAAAATCTGTTCTTCAGTTATTAAGTACAGCAGTTTGTAAATAGATCTTTTTATTTGATGATAAAGGTTTTAAACCAAATACAAACTCAAAACCAGAAAGAAACTTTGCTTAAGATTTTCTTCAGATTATCCTTTAGGAGGAAAGTCAGTATTGTATTGTACATTTTTATTTTTCTACAATCATGTATTTTTACTGACACTAAATACTTTCTCTGAAAAAAAAAACAAGAATTGATATTTAATTTGAAAATATACAAGACCGTAATTACTGATGCCTGGTAAATTTGATTGTGATGTTTTGAGTGGTCCTCATAGAAAGTGCTACTATTGATTTAGAATTTCTGACGTAGTTTATCATACTATGACAGTTGGTGAGGGGGTTTTCATGTCACAATTTATCATGGAAGTGGAATTTCCACTTCACAGCTATCTACAGACTGCTAACAATTCATCTACAATCGAGGAACATTCTGTGACGGAGAAACAGATTAAGTTGACAAAGTCAAAGGCAGAAATATTCTCTCTTTATTGATCAGTGGTATTAAATGCATTCCGACACAATTTACACACAAATTGAACCATAGGAAAATCGGTTCATGAGTGCTATGGTAAATGATGATAATGCATTGCATATACCATAGACTGGGTCGATGGGTGATGGTGAGCAAGGTGATTCCAAGATCCTTAGCCATCTGGTAGATGTTGCACTCGACATCTATACTGACTGCACTTGTGCACTCATCAAGCAAAGCGAACGCAGGCCTGAAAAAATGGTCCAATGTTTTAACTAGGGAATCAGTTTAAAATTAAATGAATTTTGATTTGGTTAATATGTCAGTGTAACTGTGAATAAGATCAAATTGAACAAAGGCATATATTTTAACTTTAATGATTCCTGTTGGGATGGATGGCTTACCTGAATCGGAAGGGAGTATTTCATTTGGTCCAAAATCGTTTGGTCCAACAGTTGTAAAACAGTTTGTTTGGTCCAAAATAGTTTTATCCAAAAGTACAGGCAAAACCAGAATTACAATTTTGCATTGTGGAGTAAACTTATGAAATAGACTGTACGTTTCACGGTGGACCATTTGATCGGGTCGTTTTATCCAACACTCTAATACGAGTTTGTTTGGTCCAACAGTATGAACTATTGCGTCCCTCACATTGAAGGTGTCCCTCACCGTGAAACGTACAGTATATTTTCATAGGTTTACTCCACAATGCAAAATTGTACTTCTAGTTTGGCCTGTACTTTTGGATAAAACAATTTTGGACCAAAAGAACGGTTTTACAAGTGGTGGATAAAACGATTTTGGACCAAACGAACGAGTTTTTTAACTGTTGGACCAAACGAACGGCAATATAAACGTTGGACCAAACGATTTTGGACCAAATGAAATTGGATCAAGAATTTTGTACCAAACCAACGTCAATAAAAACGTTGGACCAAACGATTTTGGACCATTTGAAGATGATCCAATCGGAAACAGTCCTTCCCAATGCAAGATTTGCCAAAACTTTAAACTGTACACAATAACTAGAAAACTCAAAACCTATTTGACACTCTCCATTGTCACTGACAGAATGTTTAATATTTGTTTTGATGGAAGGAAAGATTTTTCCCTACAAGAATTCAGTCTTCTTTCTTCCCAATTAAAACCTTCTTGATTAAAAATTCTGTAAGTGACAGCCAAATATTCCAATAATTGTTTATAATACAATCGGTTTTCTCATGCCAGCGAGCAAGGACTACTTCAGATTCAAGTTTCATGTATTGTCAACAAAAAAATTAAAAATCAAAGCGTAATTTTCCTTGGCCGGGATCAATATCATTTTAAGATTTTAAACTGAGAATAACTTGTTGACATACTTGTGGTAGAAGAGACGAGCCAACGCCATCCTCTGCTTCTCCCCTCCAGATAGGACATCTTTCCAGTCAGCCACGGCGTCCCAACCTCCCTCCCTCACAACCAGGTGGGCAAGGGAGACCTGTATACAGAATCCTGGTCAAGTACATTCTACACCATACATGTAATAGAGATTGCATTCAATTAACTGACTTATCAAGAAAATCATGTGTTTTTATTGTAATGAACTCTTACAAACCTGTTCAAGGGTCTCTTTAGCGGTTGAATCTTGAAACCGATTATTTTTGTTTCTCAGGTGTTTTAGAGGAAGGTTGAAAAATTTGGCTCCTTTGTAGGACAATTAATTTAATTTTCTTTCTGAGGGTTAGTTATGGAGAGAAAAGGACATGGCTTAGGATTACATCAGTAGGAATGAATACTAACTTACCCAAGAAAAAATCTACAGGCAGTTTACTACACACCACAGCGCAATCATTGTAATTTGTCACCACTACAAGCGGGCTTCTTAAGAATGAAGTAGTAAACGAGCAGTTGCAAAAGTAATTTTAATACTAGTGTACCTGTTGCTCTAATTCAAGCAATTGCTAAGTATTACGGGTGTTATTTTGAAATACTCAAGATGTACATAACAGATCGATATAATCAACATTTCTTGTAAATATCTTATCATTTTTCCCCGAATTCAAATCGTAAATATTTCATTTCAACCAAGTCAGTAAATGTTTGTAGCAAAATGTTATATTAGCACACTTGACTGTTTACAATTAACATATGTTCTTCTTCTCACTTTTAATTTCTGACAACAGCAACAGCTGGAGTTTCATAACTGTGTTTGTTTCCCATGTTAATTAATCTTATGGAGAAATACAAAACTTTGAAGGGTCAAAGGGCCTCACTCTCTAATTATTTCCCTAAAAAGAAAGTTTCCTGCACAACTTCACGTTACGCTCTTTCCAATGACACCAAAAACATGTCAATCGGTTCAGTAGTTTCGGAGGAGTAATTGTCACAAAAAACCTGCTTACGTATTAAATAAGTAATAGATTATTGTTAACTTTTTGTGTGTACAGTACTGCCAACTACCTGGAACTCACTTGTTGTGTAAGTTAAGTTAGTTGTGTATCCATTCCTCCTAGCACGTTTTTCTTTCTGTGAGTGTTCACTTTAGGATTATAGGCTAGGCATATTAGGAATATAAGTGACAGTTAGCGGAAAGTTTAGGTACAGTCCTAATCATCACTTTTCTTTATGTTTTTTGGGTCGCTGAACATGAATATGAGGTTTGCTGACAGATATTTTGCCCGGAACATTGGTTATTTTGTGAAAAACCTTAAAATTTGGGCACTTTTTTTGGTTTTTCGGGCAAATCTCGGTAAGTATGGGATTTTGAGAAAATGCTGCTTTGTAAATTAAATATGGCAAAATTTACTGCAAGTTTCCTATATAATGTTTGTTTCTACGACGAACCGTTTCGCCACTAGAGCACAGTAAAAAAGGCCAGAAGTACAAAAAAATTAAAAACATTGCTAAATGCTGCCGTTTTACATTACGTTTCCATGGAAACAACCCATGTTACGATAATTTTAACTATTTATTCATGATAACAAACTGAAACACACTTAAAAATACCCCCGCCGCAGCAAACCTGCAGACTAAGCGAATTTCCATTTCCCTGATTGGATTTACACTAAAATGTCTCCTTAGAAATATCAAATTTATTCCATATTTAAATAAAAGTTTAACGAGTACGTTTGCTGCAACAGGGAGGGTAAAAAGGTGTTTTTTGTAAAATGTAATATAGTCCAGGCGCCAAACGGGTTGAGTATGCACTGAAAGTCTGACAACATTTGACTTTTGATTATTGTTGGAGACATCTAGTAGATGAAAAAAATCTATGATGTCGCATTTCTAGGGTGGTCACAACTCGGGGGGGAGGGGGGGAAGCTGCGCGCGTCAGTGGTTTACGTTTCCGCGTCTAACTCACAAACGGTTAATGATAGAAAGGTGAATTAAGCGTCTATCTACGCCTAAATATATTGTATTTTAAAAAGGTTATTACAACCTTTCTTCTATCTCTGATTCTTTAGGCGCTAATCAACATTTATTGCAAAAAATAAAATTGAAAAATACTTTAAAATGAAATATCGGAAATATTGCGCTTGTTTAGGGCATGTTACCAACTATTTATGGTTAGAAAAACTAACAAGTAGTACAAAAACACAAAGTTTAAAGACATCTGTGCAAAAACAACAGAGCTACGTTGATTTCAGTAAGAGTAAACGTGGAGAATCCGTAGTAGTATCGAGGCGCGCATGGATGGTACGTAGCCCACAGTCAATATAGGTTTGATGTTGTAAGTAACTATGGGAAAGCTGAATTTTTCTATGCTGTTAGACCATGTTGAGATGATCATTTCCCCGAAAGTCAACACTCCTCCCCCCTTGTGCTTTCCTCTAACCCCCCTTTTTAGATAAATTTACAGCCTCTTAGAAATTAAGCCATAACTTTAAAACGGGTAAGGATGATAATGCAATCTTTTATTAATCATTTTGCGTTACGATAATCTACAAAAAGTGTATTTACCATGGTATCCTAAATATTCATAGTTAAAAAATATCATAAACATAAAAAAATATTTTTTACGGATTAATTTATGAAACTTTTTTTTGTGGATTTTTTATACGAGGTCGCACAACAAAATGTTTGATATAAAATTTGGGGTGCATAGTTTACATTTTAAAATGATACATAGTTATTAACAGTTTGTTTGCATATAGTGGTTATAGATAATACAGTATATTGATTTTACACGACTCTGGCTTTTTTGTGCACCGCAACAATGAAAAAAATTACGTATATTATGGTTTTTGTATTTGAATTTGCCGCTTTATATAGATTATATTAACGTTATGTAGCTCATTCAGTACATATACAGACTGTAGTGGATACATATGAATGAATATCATGCATTTGCTGCTGTACGCCAGAGCCTCATTTTATTATACAGGGTTCACCTAAAGTGAACCAATAGATAACTTTTGATTATGAGATATAGAGTTAACTTCTTATGGGACACTACCCTTTATTTTAAGATGTTTTTTAGTGGTTTCGAATTTTAAATATTGTTCGCCATTTTCCAATATGGCTGACAACTTTGTTAGTCCTATGGAATACCCTGTATTTTATGATTGTTTTAGAATGTAAACGCACAATTTTTAAACCTTTTTATTCTTGACATTTTTCTCTAAAGCTACTTGTTTAGGAGTTACACCGTGTTACATCGAAGAAGAAACGGTTTGTGAGTACATCCTGCATCCTGTAGCTCATAAACGAGTAAGTTTAAGAGCGAAAATACAAAGAATAAACAAGTTTTCAAATCACATCTACATTAAAAAAAACATAAAATAAATTGTTCCAATATCAAAGTAAGCTACCATTTTTGAAAATGGTGGCCATTTTAAAACAACAAAATCAGTATTTTGTAACATATTTTATATATATATTTTTTTTGAACGAGGACTTATATGTGACTTATTTATTCTTTGTACTTTCTCTCTCAACTTACTCTTTTATGAGCTACAGGATGCCGAATGTACACCACAAGCCTTTCTTTTATATAACACGCTGTAACTCCTAAATGGGGTAGGTTTAGAGAAAAAATGTCACGAATAGAAACGTTAAAAAATAGCTTTTAAATTCTAAAAGAATACTAAAATACAGCGTATTCCATAAGAAATAACAAAGTTGTTGGCCATATTGGAAAATGGTGGATATATATTTTTTTTATTCGTAACCATCCCTAAAAACATTTTTTTTAGAAATAAAGGGGGTCGTCTAGTAAAAAGTTAACTCTATATGGAAAATCAAATTTATGTATGTTCACTATGTAATCTCAACCGGGATGAAACGTGTACCCTTTTATAGCAGAATGTCCAATTTAAAAAAAGATACGTCAATTTTGGTTTAACAAGTTATATATTTAAATTAATATGAGTTTTTTTGAATTTTTAAATGGCAAAGATTGGCGGGCACATGGAAATTATCTTAAAGAGGCGTGGAGTAAAGGGTGGGAATTGATAATGGACTATAATTATTAAATTTAAGAATTGAGGTATCAATACAAAAGTGGGGAAAATCTACGTAATTTAAAAAAAAAATTATAAAATATTGTTTGTTAAGTATCTATCAAAGTAAATTATAAAAGTAACAGGTTTGTTTTATAAATTATTAACTGTTTGTAGGAAAAATTCAGATTCTCAGTAGGCTACAAATTTTATTATTCATTCAATTAATATCTGGTCTTTATTATTATGTAGTGCTATTTGTGTATATTCTGTAGTTGAAATCAGTTTATTTGATGAAAAATGGTACGTGATTCATGGACTCTTTTAAACTGTTTTAAAATATTTTAAAATAAGTGTGTCTAACACAAAACAGACGGTCTTTGACCATTGTTCTTTGCATTTAAATAAAAAAACACTGTATTGATATTTTATAACACTTTTTCTTCTTCTTCTTCTTTAGAAATCTATAATAATTCTTTTCAAATATTTATTTATCTAATAATTCTTTTTGTAGATTATCGTAACGCAAAATGATTAATAAAAGATTGCATTATTATCCTTACCCGTTTTAAAGTTATGGCTTAATTTCTAAGAGGCTGTAAATTTATCTAAAAAGGGGGGTTAGAGGAAAGCACAAGGGGGGAGGAGTGTTGACTTTCGGGGAAATGATCATCTCAACATGGTCTAACAGCATAGAAAAATTCAGCTTTCCCATAGTTACTTACAACATCAAACCTATATTGACTGTGGGCTACGTACCATCCATGCGCGCCTCGATACTACTACGGATTCTCCACGTTTACTCTTACTGAAATCAACGTAGCTCTGTTGTTTTTGCACAGATGTCTTTAAACTTTGTGTTTTTGTACTACTTGTTAGTTTTTCTAACCATAAATAGTTGGTAACATGCCCTAAACAAGCGCAATATTTCCGATATTTCATTTTAAAGTATTTTTCAATTTTATTTTTTGCAATAAATGTTGATTAGCGCCTAAAGTATCAGAGATAGAAGAAAGGTTGTAATAACCTTTTTAAAATACAATATATTTAGGCGTAGATAGACGCTTAATTCACCTTTCTATCATTAACCGTTTGTGAGTTAGACGCGGAAACGTAAACCACTGACGCGCGCAACTTCCCCCCCTCCCCCCCGAGTTGTGACCACCCTAGAAATGCGACATCATAGATTTTTTTCATCTACTAGATGTCCCCAACAATAATCAAAAGTCAAATTTTGTCAGACTTTCAGTGCATACTCAACCCGTTTAGCGCCTGGACTAATAATTTAGTATAAAATGAATGCATTTTCCAAATTTGATCAAAATATGTTCATAAACAAGCAAACTACAACATTTTACTTAGTCTCCATAAGAATAACATGAGCATTTTAAATTTACAGATTTTTGGAATTTTCTCCGTAACCATTAGGCGCATAACAACGCTTTAATATACTAAACTATTTGTTTTTTAAGCTCTACAAAATGGTATGGAAAGAAATCCGAAATTTTAAGTTTATAGGGTCAAAAATAGGAAAACCCAATTTTTACCCCATAAAACCCCCCCATAAATCCCTGTTCCCATAGTCCGACCATGCTGGTTCGGGAACTCGTTCGAATAGACGTAGGTTTACACGTTTGTCCCAATTTCCATCAAAATCGGATGATTTTTGCTAGAGTTCTCGCCCTAACAGACACATATATGAATTTGAACGGATGGTGTTTTTGGTCTCTAGGGGCCTCAAAACGAAAAAAATAAATCGGGTCCGGGTCTTACCATGAGTACTAAGGTAATAGCTTATTCCCTATAGGGGAAATTCACTAATAAACTAACTAGTGTGTCTTCTGACCGCAAAACTCCACCTGAAAGAAATACCCGTCTTTTAGGATTAAATTGTGGAAAATGGAGACAATCTTTCTTTTTATAATGTTAATAATCTCAGAATAGGTTGGTTGGTAGGATCATGTAATTCACTCTTCGGGTTGAAGGTTGGCATTCCATCCATTTTTTATGGGCCCAAGATGAGAGAAAAAACATCTTCTTCCACATCCTCATTCACTTCTAATTCACTTCTAAGGCTTCCTCAAGGGTAAGAAACTGAGGACCAAGGTTATCTTTGAATATTCTCAGCTGCCTACAGTTTTCTTCTTTATAGCAAGGCAAGGAGTGGGTAGTATGTGGTCGATTAAGTTTTTCTCGGTTGATGCTTGGTTTTTTAAGGTTGAAAGGTTGATGCTCTGGTCATAACTTTTGTGTAGTAGGAACCCACCATCAATAACATACTGCACTTGACCATGGAAGTGCTTGTTTTCAATGGGGACAGGAGCTTTAGGCCTTTAAAGATTTGATTTGGTTCTTTGTGCAAACTGTTATTATCAAACAACGAGAAAGAGTAAGGACCCAGTTCGTAGGACAAGAAGTGTTTTAGTTCTTCATCAGAATTCTTAGCGATGCTGATACGTTGAAACAATGTGTTGGGGTTTACGGGTAAGAATTCTCTACTTTTTTCATCGCGTTATTTACTATGGCAAGTGGCTGGACACGGTCTACTCGTCTGAATTTGACGTTAACAAATTTAAAAGTTATCTACCGTACAACTCTTTTAATGTATTTCATCCTTTTTTCTCAATCACTATAGCAGTCAACCCTGTGGCCAGCAACATCCCTGTGCTGAGAAAATAAATGGGGGTTTTGTGGGAACGGGAAATGTTCCAGCAGTCATCAGTCATACATCTTGGCATAGATTGATCAAGTGTGTTTCAGTTCATTATCATGAATAAATAGTTCAAATTATCGTAACATGGGTTGTTTCCATGGACACCCAATGTAAAACCTTTGTAAAACGGTTAGGGTTTATTTTCATTTTTGGTTTTGCCCAGCATGATCGGACTATGGGAACAGGGATTTAAGGCGGGGACACACTTGTCATACACTCTTCCGATCCTACTACGATCCGATTTGCGGGATTCCAGAAGGATCGGTGCGGGATCGGAGGGGGTGAACACACATGTCATACACGCTTCCGACCCATCTCCGATTTCCTCCACTGGTCGATCAACACTTGCCAGTCTGATTTGTAAACTACGTGCAGTAGAAGGTGGTAAACATGTTCAAAAACTTTGGACTTCGGGATTCAGCCATGATGGCGGTTTGTCTAGATGAAGAGGAAGAAAGTCAGACATCTCTGAAGGGCAGTGGAAAACGAAGAATTTGGGTTCATTCTGTATGGAAAGAAAGTTAGGTGGTTTACTTAAGTGCCCATATTATATATTAAGCACATTGGGTTTTCTCTCTCGAGTTCGTTTGGCTCTTCTACCCGTCCGATTTTCATGATCGAGGTCTCAAATTGAAGGTATGCACGCACAGATTTCACATCAAGCATCGGCATATATTTATCTTAAACCATTATTCTTAAATCTTAAGAATAAATGCGATTTTTAAGAAACAACCCATCCTGCATCCGACAAACAAATAGACTGCAGTGTCGGTGCGTGATCGGAGTCAAAATCGGAGTAGGATCGGAGTATGACGTGACGCGTGTCGGAGAGGTGTAAACAACCGCGTTCAAAGCTATGTACCATTCCCCTCTCCGACAGTCGTACCACAGTATGATCGGAGTCGGATCGGAAGGGTGTATGACAAGTGTGTCCCCGCCTTTATGGGGGGTTTAATTGGTTTTTCCTATTTTTGACCCTATAAACTTAAAATTTTGCGATTTCTTTCCATACCATTTTGTATAGCTTAAAAAAACATATAGTTTAGTATATTAAAGCGTTGTTATACGCCTATTGGTTACGGAGAAAATTCCAAAAATCTGTAAATTTAAAATGCCCATGTTATTCTTATGGAGACTAAGTAAACTGTTGTAGTTTGCTTGTTTATGAACATATTTTGATCAAATTTGGAAAATGCATTAATTTCATACTAAATTATTACATTTTACAAAAAACACCTTTTCACCCTCCCTGTTGCAGCAAACCTAAGTACTCGTTAAACTTTTATTTAAATAGGGAATAACTGTGATATTTCTAAGGAGACATTTTAGTGTAAATCCAATCAGGGAAATGGAAATTCGCTTAGTCTGCAGGTTTGCTGCGGCGGGGATATTTTTAAGTGTGTTTCAGTTTGTTATCATGAATAAATAGTTAAAATTATCGTAACATGGGTTGTTTCCATGGAAACGTAATGTAAAACGGCAGCATTTAGCAATGTTTTTAATTTTTTTGTACTTCTGGCCTTTTTTACTGTGCTCTAGTGGCGAAACGGTTCGTCGTAGAAACAAACATTATATAGGAAACTTGCAGTAAATTTTGTCACCTTTAATTTTAAAAAGCTGGATTTTCTTAAAAACCCATACTTACTGAGATTTGCCCAAAAAACCAAAAAAAGTGCCCAAATTTTAAGGTTTTTCACTAAATAACCAATGTTCCGGGCAAAATATCTGTCAGCAAACCTCATATTCGTGTTCAGCGACCCAAAAAACATAAAGAAAAGTGATGATTAGGACTGTACCTAAACTTTCTGCTAACTTTCCTAATATGCCTAGACTATTAGAAAGTTAATAAAATTACCAACATTTTAATTCTTTTGTATGTAGCAACATTAATTTTTGGATACTGAAGTTTCTATTTATATTGAACAGTTTGCTATCCGAAAGGTATTATACTGAAAATTGAGTAAGACACTGAGTTTGTTAAGAATACTAAATTAGGCTCTTTGAAATTCCAAGGGTCAATATCTAACAATAAATTGTTTTCTCTGTGCTACCCTTACAATTTCGGCCAACACTGGGTTGATTCCAATCTAGTTTATCTTGTTCACATCATGCTTGTATCATGCTTGACTGGTCACTACTGATCATTACCTTTTCAAGGCAAGCCTCCAACATGGCGTCAGATACTCCCTTGTTGCTCCACTCAGACAAACTCTCAGGGTAGATGACTTGCTCCCTCAGACTGCCCAGGGTCATGTAGGGTCTGTACAAACAGAAAGACTATAGTCAAAGTGGACACTCAATGAAAAGGTGTCCGGATAAGAGGAAGTCTACTGTATCTTGGTTGTATAGATTAAATTTTTACTGTCAGTTTTACAGTATCTTGTATGTCATTGTTGTCGCATCAAAGATTTAATGCTTGTCCATGGGCGAAGCACAGAGTAAGGTACAGAGCAAACAATGAATGGTACACTTAAGTATAGTCTAGCGCTAGTGCTTGTGTCTAGGGTAAAGTCCAACACCACCCCCTGGCTCTCATGTACTACAATGCTCATGGTGGAGGAAGACTGTGCCCTGTGGAATAGTAATTTCCGCACATTGCTCGATATTCGGGCTCTTCCTCGCTCATCACAAGTAATTTCCAGCCGAACATACCAGAGCTGAAAGTGCTCGACAGTCAATTAAACGTATTTCCTCTGTACCTTACTTCTCTTTGCTTCGCCCATAGACAAGCCTCAAATATTTGACGCTACAAGGGTTTTCATACAAGGTACTGACAAACAGTTGACAGTAAAGATTTAACACAGGCTATGGAAGTTAGAGCACTAACTAGTAAATTGTTGTCCTTGCTTAGCTTTGAGATTTAAGAAGAGACAAATAAAGAAACTGGTGTCTTGTTAGTATGTTAGGAAATGTGGATTTAGACAGGCAAAACCAAACTTTAAAAACTATATGCATGAAATACAGAAGCTTTTGTTTGAGCGCCATTGATGATGGTGTGTCTTTTGTTCAAATATTCCATAAGCATGACAAAGACACCAAGTTTAAGACTTGTCATGAGGGAATTCAAATTTCTCAGAACCTTCGTCAGAATTAATTATACACCCCTACCTGGTACTTGTTCAAGTATTGAGTATTTTATTTTGGTCTTTTTATCACGAAAAAAGTCAAACACACCTCTGGGGAACGTAGAACATTGTGCAGTTCATCGGCCTGATGAGTTTGCCAGCGTAGACGGGCCAGAGTCCGCTGATCACTCGGAACAAAGATGACTTGCCACAGCCATTCGGACCTGTGATCAGAAGGTGGGAGCCAGGCGTTACCTGTAACAGAATTGTCACAATTCTCATGTGATTAAGCTGAAGTTATTGGGAAATGTGAAAAAAAAATTATTTAATATTGCATTGTCATTCATTTGTGAGCTATGATATAAGTTTCAAGTCTATAGCTCATCGGGAAGTATGTTGATTGATTGCAGTTGGTTGATTGAGTTGAAAAATTGATTGCAAAATGTATATCGTACAGACAAGAAAATGAGCTAATAAAAACGTGTTATAATGGAAACCTACTAGAGAGGCAGACATCAAAAGTGAAATTGCATCCTCTATGAAAAAGGAAAAATTTAATATATCATAATCTTCTTTTACCTTAAGGCTGAGACTAGGTACGACAACATCACCGTTGGGAGTGACAATCGGAACTTCTCGTAACTCTATACTGCCATCAGGACTGTCACAAACTTCCCCTGGAAAACAATAGAGATACCCTCAAAATACATAACAAGATTTACCTTCAATGATAACAAATACCCCTGTTGCAGCAAACCTGCAGACTAAGCGAATTTCAATTTACCTAATAGAATTATCGCAAATATCTCCTTTAAAAATGTCATATTTATTCCCTATTAAATTACTTAATTTAAAAAGGACTTAGGTTTGCTGCTGAAGGTGATAAAGTGCCTTTTAAGTGAAATGAACTTACATTTCACTTAAAATGTCAATATTGTTATTGTTAATATTTATATTATTATAACAACTATTTGTTCCTAACATTAGATTAGGATGAAATATGTAAATTTGCTAAATTTGATTAGAATATTTCCATAAACAAGCAAAGTAGTTAAGTTTACTTATCCTCCATAAAAATAAGATAAAAATTTAAAATTTACAGTTTATTGTGATTTTTTCCATAACCATTAGTTGTACAATCATACTTCAATATATATTTATTTTTAAGCTCTACAAAAGGGTTTGGGAAAAAAGTTTTTACCGCTTAAAACCCCTGAAAAAAACCGTTCCCACAGTCCGATCATGCTGGTTCGTGAACTTGTTCAAATAATTGTAATTTTACACGTTTGTACCAAACGTAATCAAAATCGGAATATTTTTACTCCAGTTATCGGGCTTACAGATATACATGTATGAATTCGAAGAATAGTGTTTTTGGCCTCTGGAGACATCAAAGTAAATCAATCCAAGGTCCAGGTCTTACCATAAGACCTATGGTAATAGATTAGTCTCTTTATAAGAAATTATCTAACAGGCTTCAGTTTTTCAATAGGATGAGAGGTTATGTACCTTTGACCAGCAATTGTCCGTTGATGTACTGTAGTGATGATGACCTCAGGAGAGACTTGGCAGCGACCGTGGTCTTGCGGTACTGACCACGACTGACCTGGTCAAACACGTCCAGCATCTGACTGACTCTGGACGTGTATCCTGCCAGCTCTACTATCTCCTGCGTAACCGGGGGAATGTCAAATTAGGCAGGATACAAAACAGTTTATATAGTATAATTAATGTCTAGAGCTTTTAGCGGTTGAACGTTGAGTGTAAACAAAGTGTGTAAACACTAGATGCTAATTTAAAATAATCCTCATAACACATTTTTTATACCCTGGTATTCTCTTCTTTTATCCAATTAAATTTAGAGGATCTTGACTACTAAAACTATTAGTTTTTTTATTGATTTGATCAAGTAATAAAATTTACTACTATTACTATTTTCTTTTTGCAGTTTGTTTGAGCTATCCCAGATATCGTTCATCTTATTTACAGGTTTTACAATAATTTATGTTCAGAAGTTACCAGAGCATAAAATAAATACCCCCACCACAGAATACCTGCAGACTAGGCCAATTTCAAAATTTCCATTTGCCTGATTGGATTTGCACTAAAATATTTTCTTAAAAATATAATATTAAATTCCCTATTTAAATACTATTAGTTTAACGAGTACTTAGGTTTTCTGCTACAGGAAAGGTAATTAAGTGTTTATATAGTTTAATGTTAATAGCAAAATGTTATAGTATAATATAAATAAAATTTTCAAATTTGATCAAAATATTTTTATAAACAAGTAAAACAGTTAACTTTTTCTCCATCAAGTAAAACAGTTAACTTTTTCTCCATAAGAATAACATAAGCACAACAACGCTTCAATATACTAAATTTTTGTTTTTAAGCTCACAAAGTGGTTTTGAAAGAAATTGCAAAATTTTATATATTTAGGGTTAAAAATGAGAAAAACCCATTTATATGAATTAGAACAGATGGTGTTTTTGGCTTCTGGAGACCTTAAAACAAAAAAGTACATCGGATCCGGGTCCAGAACTTACCATGAGATCTACAGTAGCTTATTCCCTATATGGGAATTTGCTAAAGCTGTCTTATAATATCTTATGGAGGATAAGAGCAAAATACAGAGGTTGTTTGTACATTAGTACCGGTTTTATCATGGATAATGGTAAACAGTGCTTTTTTAGATATTTCTCTTTAGTTTGGTAATTTTTCACACAACCGCATGGATATTCCGTTAACAAAGTTTTCCTACTTAGAACACTGAATCATTCAAACTGACACTTATAGCCAATGGACCACAATAATGGAACATCATACACATTACAATACCTTTTCAAAACACAAAACACCATTTAAATAAAACTTTTACTTCCATACACTTGTGTCAACGGGCAACGGATTAAAATAAGGTCCAAACCTTAAACTACAGGGATATAACCAACCACCTAACACGGCCAGGATATACGGCCAGTATAAGGAAGTAAAGAACGCAGGGCTGCTTTCAAATTTTTCAATATATTACTCTGTTATTATAAGGCTTGTTTACATACCTTAATTTACACATTGCCCTTTTACAATTGCTTTACTCTAAAATAAAACCAACCTTATAGTTCTTTTCTGTAGGAATACAGTTATTTAAATATAATATTCTATCACTAACCTTGTACGAGGACATTAGCCTTTCTACAGCATCAGCCCCCGACACCAGGAGATTACGAGCCGTTGTCAAGTATTGCGTACGCTCACTCACGTTGGATGACTCGTCCGTACTACTGGAACCTGTGTAGAAAATAAGTTTAGCACTTACTGTATAGCATTTGGACAGTTACAAAAATGATTAATTTTAAGCCATTAATAGTTCAAGTTTCCACATGACTGTTTACTGTATTTAGTGCCTTTAATAGCTGGATGAAAAGTGTCTCCCAGCAATATCTTCCACTTAACGAGCATCTCAAGGGAAACAAAATGATTTTCTTGAAGCAATGGTTGACAAGGAAATGAGCAGTAAAGACATCAATCCTCAAGACCTACAAGGCAACTTGTTTTGCTTTAGAAAAACCGGCAGCCAAAAAGCAGGAGCAGGTGAACTTGTAAATTGAAGTTCATTTATTACCCCCTGCTGTTATCAATAATTTCTTATAGTAGGTCGTTTATCATCATAGCTTAAAACAATGTTTTTACTATTCAATCATACTAAGTCAAACAACATACTTAGTTCTCGGCTGCTCATGACGATAGGTAGGGAGATCATGATCATGCCAGTGCCACTCCAAACATACTTCATGAGGAACTGCTCTAGTACGACGTACCACAACCTCTGGACCAGGATGCGGTTCTTGTGACGGACCAGAGAGTTGTATGAAGATCTCAGGTTACCCATCTCTACCTGCGGACAAGAACACATTGATAAATCAAACCGTTTATTTAGTTGTTAAACGTAAAAGGTAAAGTGAAAGAAAAATGGTACAAGATAATAGAAGTCTTTAAATGCATATAACTTTTTGACTGAGTAGCAAGGGCTGTACAGCTTGTAAGATGAGATTTTCTGCTTTAACCCTAGATGGGTCTTGCACGTAAATTTTACGTAGTGCGAGTTATTTTTAGTATCTCACCCCCCACCCCCTCAACTGACAATACCCTCCTTCCGGCAGTGCTCTCAGCAGTCATTTGCCTTGCGATGGCTGCCTTGGTTGGGTCGTAGTATTTCTTTATGCACTTGCTAGTCAGTTTCTTGGAACGCTTACGTCAAACTTACGTGTCAATACCCTTTGTGTATGGTAAAACGGCCGGCAGTACGTCAAATTTACGTATTGATACCCTTAGCGACATGCTGTATGACGATAACTTTTTAGGGTTAAAAGTCTTTTCAGGGGGGTTTTAAGGGTTGCTAATGGTTTGTCAAACTGATTCATGTGATATTGACACTTGACTTGAGGAACAGCTTCAAGACTATTCACTACAACCTCTAGCCAAAAATATCTTGAACTCTGTTCCCTTTTATACAGTAAATTTAAATTAACACACCCATACAATTCCACTATTTAGTCAATTATCTATGTAGTCAATTATTTGGTTCCATGGGAATTTTAAACTTTATTAGTTGTTAAACGTTTGGTGATCTTTATGAAGGTATGAAATCCAAGCCATTTGAGACGAGTTCATTAAAATTTTTTTATGATTGAAAAAGAGTTTTGAGTTTCAAAAATAGTTAAAATTATTTTTTGGATATTCCGTCTCATTGTGATTTCTTCTTTAGACGAGTAAAGATGGCTCAGTTGGTAGTGTGACAGAATGGGAAATAAAGGTAGTGAGGCTAGGTCCCAGTGCAGCCCCTTAAAATTTAGCATAACATTGCACTCCTTTGGGGCATACATGGAAATTCAAAAATTAAAAGGAGCCACAACCTCTTTTTAAACAAAACATAATAATAACTGACAATGCAATTGAGTAGAGCCTTTTCAAAAACGTTAAACTTATGACAATTGAATACTAAGAAAACCACAGCCACTAAATTAGTTCAAGTTGAAATACTAATTCTGCCAAATTTATGTTAATCCCCTATTGTGTGATTTAACATAATGACTATGAACAAACTATAACACAACCATGTAATTTCCTTGTGACGAGTTAAGAAGAGTACTTCATCTTTTTAACGCTTTGTCATTTGATAACTAGATAATTGCAATAAATTATCACACAAAAAACCAAGTTAAAGTAGTGACTTGCAATTATAAACTGTGAAGACAATTGAAACTGTAATTAGACACCTCACCTTGACTTTAGACCTCCTTTGACAGAATGGACTTACCTCAAGGTCAGGACTACCATGCATCATCGTTACCTCAACTCAATTACGATTACCTCAACACTCAGCAGACTATGACAAATTACTGTTGTAATGTTGGCAATTACGTATAAAAAATGTTCTACCTGTGATATGTGTTATTCTCTAGAAACTTTTTAAAAGTTTCTAGAAATACTTGTTGTAGATAATCAATGGTTTATTTTTAAATGTAACAGAAATACATTTTGTTCTTACAAACATATAAATATTGGAAATTCTTAGAAACTACTTGATTACTTTTCAATGAAATGGCGACCATGCAAAGTAGGTATTTTAATCCAAGTAATGAATGGAGATGAGTGTAGGACTATGTACCATTTACCAATTTATCCACATTTTCCCCAATATCCATTAGGTTTAGCTATCAGAAGCATGCACATTACTATAAAACATTTTAAAACAGACAAAATTTGCATGTAAAACGTTTGACTTAATTTGAAAAAAATTGTGCAATATATTTGTTTATGGGCTCAAAAGGTTAGCAATTGATTATAGATTATTCGAGGGTGTTTACGAGGTACGGTTCTGTTCAATTCATTTTCTATGACAGGCCACTGTAATTGTAATAAAAAGACCAGAGACTGTTCTCTTTCAAAACAATTGATAGCTGAATTTTAATTGTCTGTAGTTAAGACTTGGTATATTTTATCTAACAATTCAATTGATCAGGTATGTTACTAACGTCGGATATTGCTAACGTGTGTGCCTGGAGGCTAAAGTCTTTGACTTTGTTGCAAGAATGAGAGGTTAGATATAGGTTACAGGTTAAGGTTTGGCATATCCACAAACATTTAAGGGGTATGAATGTTGAATCACTCTCTCTTGCCAGTCAAAGTTTAAAGCTCTGCAACTGCAACATTATAAGAATATTTAAAACTTGTTGAGTGAATACCTTGTGACCTCCATAGAACGCAATCTCTTCAGCGTTGGTGATGACTCTAGCGTGGATGTTTCGGAGGTTGGCGCTTCTTTCAGCATCCACGGCAACGAGAGCTCCGAATTTGGGAGATAACACTCGCAACACCTGTCCAGTCAGTGATACCACCACAAACGCCAACAGAGGACCTGGAAACAGAGACCATTTCTTTGTTACGTTAAACTGGACAATTGATAGTCCAGCAGCACTAATTTCTCAGCAAATCCTTTGATATTTTTACAACAATTTTACAAAACCCTAAGAACTCCTTGCTGGTGTTACTTACGACACTGCAGATGCCCCTGTGGCAAACAACGTAAAGCTTAAATAGTTACATCGTACATTTGCTATTTGGACCTAGTGTTACTCGTAGACATTAAGACCTGATCCCATGCTTCACGCATACTTGACGACTCTTCTAGCCAGTCTGTATTTCAGTCAACGTCATATTAACAAAGGCGGTAAAAAGGAAAAAGCAAATATTTTTTTTTAGTTTACAATGTCATACTTCGACAGCAAGCAAAGTACAGAAAATAAGGCAATTTAAAGGTTAAATAACATTTAAGGTTTTTAATTAAAATTAAATATTAAATCGTATAGGCCTATAATCAGATGAAAGAAATGGATGGTCACGTTATATTTGTTTACAAGATAATTTACCCTACTAAAACTGCCAGAATCTTCCTTTATGTGTGTAAACTAGCTGTTAAGAATTAAATTCAGTTTTAATTGTCTACTTGATTCCCTTACGTAGGACAGGCCAACAGCTAGTTATTATAATAATTATTTCAAACTCTACCTAGTTGTATTTGCACTTCATTGAATTTAATAAACTCTTCATTATAATTTGTATACTCAGTAATATAAATCGAAAAATCCAGGCATTTGCTTTCAATTGATAAACAAAAAGGGGGGAGGGAATCAATAAACTAGTTTGATCATTTAGTATAAAAGATTCATTCAAGGAATAAATCAATTACTCTAAACAACAAATGACATCTCAATCATTATTTGACCTATTACCAACACCCAAGGAAAGAACATGATTTGGGGTTATCATATTTTGTTCAGGTTAAGTTGATATCTAAGTTTTGTTTATTTGAGTTTGAACACACAAGAACAGTGATGAAGTTGTAAATTTTCCAGTGCGGGAACCCTCACATTGTTGCGGAAAAATACTGGTTCCTTAATAATAACTCCAAAATAACTGATTGAGTAGCTGAGTGGTTATAGTACTCGCCTAACAATCAAAAGGTTGCCGGATCAATCTTGAGAAAAGTCAGTAGCTTTTTAATGGTTTGATACTGGACCCAGCTGTTCATGATCATTGGGCTCTATGAATAATCTTGACTAATTAAACAGCTGATCTTAGTCAGTAACAAAGCTACAACATAGATCATCACACTCCATTTTAAACTCATCCTTCACTCATATTTTGGTCAAAATATGCACATAGATGGCGTCCCCTTCTCAATGATTGATAATTTATAATTGATATAGTTTCTTAGGAAACCGCAGAGTGAAAACTACTTCCATGTGTTTCCGCTCCACTACTAACACAATATGCTACACACACCACCCCACAAGATTATGCTTGCATACATTTTTTTATAGCAGATAGAGACAATAATCTTTCTTAATAAACCCGAGGTTTATAAAACAAACATATTTTAAGTATGTAGAAGGGTTGAGTTTGTTTTTGGAATCGTGGGGGGTGAACCAAACTTATTTAGCTGTTATAAAGTCTAAATATTTCCAATAATCAAATTATTTCCTCAGTCTTTAAAGAAATTTATCAAACTTTAATGTTTTTTAGAGAAATTATTTAAATCATTGACATAGAATCAAGATAGTAGCCATAATTTTAAAATGAAGGTAGGGGACTCTAGTTTCTACTGCAGTTGGTGTCACCTTCACAAGGATCGATACACAATAATGGAACTGGAACACAATCAAACAACAAAGCCTACTTTATATCAGACATCGTATCAAAAATACTTTCAGGTTAACTATACTCTATAACAGCGTAATTAAATCAATACGAATGAATTCTCGAATTTCAGGGGGTTTAATTTGATAGGGTTAAACTTGAGGGTAGAAAACTATCAATAATGTTGTTAGTAGTAACCGTAGTTTGCTGATCAAAACAAACAAAAGAAATAATAAAATTTTTCAAAACATTTACTGTGAAAATCAAAAGACATAGTAAAATGTTTAAAACACTTATATAAAGACCATTCATTCCATCTTCCTTCTAAAAAAATATCAGGATAATTTATTTGATGTTGCTACAAAACGTTTGAAACCTTGGATAATTAGGAACCTAATAAAGGAAACCTTGATAATTACAACTACTAAAATGCCATCTCCACTGACATAACTTTAGAGCGTGGATGTTACGCAAGTCAGTTATCTTCAAGACTCTCAACAAAACAATAACTGGAGGTTATTCTGTCAATAATGATAAAGAAAGTAAACAATGGCTGCTCAACAGAAATGGAATATTGAACGGTTGTGGGCTGATTGTTATAGCGACCCTAGAGATACTTAGTATGTGAAACAACTATTTGTTGATACTAAAGTAATCAGAGGAGAGCCAGTCTGAATGTAAGACAAGTTTTTTAAAGGTTCAAAACTGGATAAGTTGGATCTTATCATTTAGCTTTCAATAATTTGTTGAGTGCTGGCTGGTCCAGTCAGCTGGTTATAGTCAGTAACAAACCTAAACAAAGTATCTCACTCATGAATAGAATTGTGCTGCGGTCTCAACGAAATGATAAAATTAATGTAAAGATATTTGAAAATCATTAGATACGGAAATCACTCTCAAGGAGTTTTATTTTATCGTCAAGTACTAGAGAACTCCTGAATGAGTCAAGGATTACATGTCACTCTATATCGGTTGACAGTTTGATGAATCAGGTAAATAACTTAAATATATTCAAGGTTAGGTTAGGTTAGGCAAGGTTCCAGATAAATCTTGAGTTCATATCGGAACTCAACCCTGAGATTACTATAGAAAACATTGACCTATATCACGCCTAAGGTAAAAACCCATAAAATAAAACCCATAGGATAAAAATGCCCATTGTTCAGAAATATGAGGAAAATATACCTTATACGTTTCACATTCAGCTTGATGAAGGAGGCCCATCTAAAATAAACAGGAAACGACTCATGAGGGAGCTGATGGGATAGGTGGAATCTTCAGTTACACCTTAAATAGGCATTTCGCTACTTCTTTTGAAGGCTATCCTTACTATTAATATGAAAGTATTAATGTTCGCTTGATTGTAAATAATAAATTATTATAATTAGGGTTAATATTGTAATTTGTAATGTTTAAGCACATTTGTTAACTCAGAGGCCTTGTTAAGTCATGTACGGTATATCAAGTCGTGAATATCATTAACAATGACAATAAAGTTCTTGATTCTTATATTACAATTAGTTTTAAATAATTGTTATATTGATTTTGTCTTCCCCGTTACAAATACTACAATAGTCTAACTTAAATAAATACAGAATAAAATGATAATTTTTTTAAATTAGTTATTGACTTGTAAGTTTTCATTTTTTTCTAATTTTATAAATACTATAAGAGTTTTTTGTAAGATTTACAAATATTTTTTTATTAAAGTGTAATTGTTTTCCTAATTTTGTTTTTGAATTTCCATGATCTGCAAATGTTTATGGCCTTAAATAAGTTTTGAAGATGTAAACATTTTCTGTAACATCATGTGTAATTTTGTTTTTATCAATCTTTTTTCATATTCCTCAATTTTGGCTTATATTTTTAAAATCGTGTTCTGTTTCGATTAAGAATATTTTCCGAAGTCCGATTTCATCGGTGCATTGATTTCTGAATAAGCCCTTGAATTACTTGTTCTTGAAATAATAATTTCATCTAGCAGTTGTGACATTCAGAATATTTTTATTTGGTAATTGCCTGATATCTTCATGTTTTGTGTTTGGTTGTTTAAGTTAATGTTTTTATTTTAAGGTTTTTTTTGTTTATTATTCATTTAGGAATCACAAAATATGGATTTTTGAGATCAAAAGTCGATAAAAACATGATAAAACAATTAATTCAATTAAAAATCCCTGGTGCTCAAAGGGTTGAAGCCAGCGTATAATCATCCAAGCCACCAACCACTTCCTGTTCATGTTGAGACGTGTCAGAGGAACCACTGTGACTAATCTCAGGTTACTCTCTTCACCGTAATAGCTTTTACTTTCTATCCATCCCGTGCCCGCGCCCGTCCGTCACTAACCACACTGGAGAAACGGCTGTACTTTCACAGACTGGCTCTCCTGTATTATCTATGATTACGTTTGATTGTTGATTACAAGTTCCAGCTGATGGGGTCATGCACCATCGGCGATGGTCATCGGTTAAATAATATAGAAAAGAAGAGAAATTTACCCAAAAAGAACTTGGGACATAAAGAAGAAAAAACCAAATCTGAACGTGAAACTTTAAAATAAATTGAACGTTAAAGTTTGTAAATTTCGTACAATATTTGTTGATTAGAATTTACTTGATGCCCATTCACAAAAGTAATACAAATCACATACTTTTAAATATGTCTCTTGCAAATCTCATATACTTTCATAAGAAGCCGTTTATTTTTTATTTTTGAAATCTTGTTATTATTTGCTGTTTAACTTAACTAAACAATGGTGAAACAAAATGTGAACATGTCAAAATGAAGAAAATGTCAAAATGTTAAATTATTTTAACACTAATACCGAAACCCCACCTAGGCTGACGTTAACCGAAACCCCCGGTCTGTGAGACCCCATTTGAAAAATAATGGACCCCGCTTAGAAACACACAAACCGAAACCCTCGGTCTGTGAGACCCCACTTTAAAATACACTAACGCTAGGCTTCTGAGACGGACATGTTATGAACAAACAACCTGTCAAGGTCATGGCACCCATGCAAAATGAACAAACGATATATCAATAGGTAGGGGAGGAAAAGGGGGGAAGGTATTGGGGGAATGGAATCTACCAAGTAAACAGTGTTGCCAACATGCGTTTTTGAAAATTCCCGTGGGCCTGTCAGACCGGGGTTTCGGTATTAGTGTTAATCTTAGCTTTATGTTAAGGACATACTGATCCTCTTTTTAACAAAATAGAGTTGTTTAGGTTTAATTTTGTTATTATTGCATGAGTTCTTAAGATGTTATTGCCACCCTATATCTATTATGGTGTAGGGTGACGTCTAATGCACCTTAATGGATTAGGGTGTAGGGTGGTACAGACGTTTTACCTCCGAGATCTCAGCCAACAACAAAGGTAATTCTAATATAATTCAAGTTATTGAAACTGGGATAGCAAACAAAAAATTGAGTTGTATTTTGTGTAACTGATCAAACAAATTAGACTGTGAATTATAGAACTGCTAGTAAAACACAAACTGTACAAAATCATCCCTTAGTTTTTTTTTATCAAACAAGATTTTTATGACCTCACACTTAAAGCTTATGTGTAGGGTAAAGTTAATGTAAAAAAAGAGCCATTGGGTCCTTTTAATTTTAATCTCCGGAATATTGTAAGTAGCAACAGAATCAAGTCTAATGCAATTTGTCCTGTTTGTCTTGACTTTTGTACTGGAATTTCCATGATGCATCGATAGTAGTAATTAAAACTGCAAAACTAGTTTGCAAGTAAGTTAACAGTAGGATGAGATTAAGAAAAGTAGTCTCAAAAACATGCAAAAAAGGTGACGGTGGGAATTTTGTAATATTGTGTGGATTTCGAGAAAAGATTGGGTCCTAGGAAACTAGTTTAGAACTTGTAATCAAATCTATTTAGAACGTATTAATGCAACTAATACCAGCCAAATTAGAATTGCATTTAATTCGCTTACTCATGTTAGTGCAAACAATGGTATGCAGAGATCAAAGACCTGTCTTCTATTACAATACAGGAAGTAAAGCAGTGATTGAATTGTAGATAGGGGGTGAGCTGAATAGATACATGCACACATAACCTAATTGTTCCCTTCCACAAATTGCTAATTTATCTCAACAAATTGTTGTCTTGGTAAAGTTTTCACTTCATAAAACTTTTCTCAAAATACATTTACACTTCATTTTTTATAGACAAAGTGTTTTTTACGTTGGCACACTCCCAGTATTGATATACCTATCCAAGATTTGTTTAAAGTTTTTATAATTAAAAATTAGGACATTCTTTAAATCTTAAATTGGTAGTACAATATTGAAAATTAACAAAACCAGGACAAATAATTATATGAAGGTGGTTAACCATTTAAAGTATTTGTAAAACCTATACCAAAATATACAAACTTCTAGGCCTAATACCTAATCGGTACCCTGATCATTTAGATACCCTATGTATTTGTTATACTAGAAGGTAAAAATCCTGAAGTTTTATTTATGTAAATAAATAAGAAATACTGCACACCTTCAATATTCAAGATGAGTAACTGATAATATTTCAACTTTTTAAAAATTACAAGTCTTTTTATAAGAAAAATCTTCTTACAGTAGGCTATAAAGTATTTAGCCTAACTGATAATGTTTAAAATATTTTTCTTACAGTCACCTGACAAAGTGGCCTTCCTTGCACTGATTATAGCACAGAAATTTGCTAATTGCTGCACCTACTTATTTTTTTATTTAATTTTTTTTACCGCACACCAGTATTCCAACCAAACAACCCAAAACAGTGTGCTTTTATTAGGCATGTAATACGTGTACGTTTAAAAAAATAAGTTGGCAATACTTAAAGATATTACAACTACGATCAGCAGGTGTAGCAACCTAACCTAAAAACATGTTGTACAGTATTTGAAAGACTAATTATTTATATGCTTCATTACTGTAGGAAAAATATAATGTGTAATACGAGATACTTTCCACACTTGCCTACGGCTCGTGCGTAAACATTTTTTCTCGTGTGCAGCAAAGTGCCACTTTGCCCACTAGTTACACAAATAGATATTGTATAGCCTACTGGTATTAAAATTCAATTTCTCCTTAGTATTTGATTATTTCTCGGAGTAGACAGTTAGATGCATGATAGGAGCTGGATTGGTCAGAATAAGATAATTTCAATTAAAGGCCTGTTATAAAAGCATTAGTTACAGTTATCAAAATCGAGCCAATAATCTTTTATCTTAATGTCTTTGGTATTATGGTAAGAAATGTAATTCCATTTCTTAAATATATTAAGTAGATTTCTATGTATTGAATAGTATAATTATTTACATGAATATTTTGTAAAATTATGTGGTCTTTAATTAGTCTAGTATGCCATTGAGTGTATAGAATATGGGCAGTTTAATCATCAATGGTAATACTGTACAACCTATTTTTACTTTCTCCTCCTATACACAGTATATGGAGAAAGTATTGGTTTCGTCAATATTTTAGAGTTTGAGTTTTGGGTGGATATATCCGTTTTGGGCCCCCCTGAACCCAAAAAAGTGGTTTTCGAAGTGATGTCTGTATGTGTGGATATGTACAGAGGCTACAGACCACACCTGTGGTCCGATTTTGATGAAATGGTACGTAGGTACTAATCCATTATACCTACAGGCGTTTTTTTTTAATTTTTTTAAATGGCAATTTTTCCATAAAACCCATAAAATAATGGAAAAATAGGATTTTTTCAAAACGGCCTGAACGATTTTGATGAAAAAATTTGTATGTTATGGTCCTTTAAATTTTGAACAAAATAGTACAAATTCCATTTCCATAAAAATTACGGTTCCTAAGTTATTGTAACTTATGTTATTTTCCCATGAAAACAAGAAATTGGATTTTAGAAAAAAAGCCGGTTTTGATTAAAATTAGTATGTTATGGTCCTTAAAATTTTGAAAAAAGTGGTACAGATCCCATTTTCGTAAAAAGTACGGTTCAAAAGTTACTGTAACTTATGTTATTTTCTATAAAACCCATAAAATAACAAAATATTGGATTTTAGGAAAAATACAGTTTTGATTAAAATAAAATGTGTTTTGGTTTTTATTGTTCCAAACAAAAATAGTGCAACCTCCGATTGCTGTAACAATTACAGTTCAAAAGTTATTCTAACTTTTGTGAATTATCCTTATAGAATATACGGATCACACCCACCGCTTACCCATGATAAAGGTTATTTACAAGCTTATGGGAGAAAGTATGTGTCAGTTTGCTGATACCGTTTATTTGTTAAAACTTTTAAAACTTGTTAAAATTTATTTTCACATCCTGTTGGAAAGCGTGGGAAAAGCTACAACATAGTAAATTGTGAGAGGGTTTAATCAATGACAGTTATTGATTGTCTTTTGTGACCTTGCTCTGCCTCTGATTTGCCAAATCATTAACTGCCGATTGTATGTTGACGACCTGATTCACAACTTGCATATGCTGATGACCCAAGTCAGCAGAATGTTCTGAATAGTAATATAATAACGTAACTAAGCTAGTTGGCAGAAAAGCTATCTGAGGGTCTGGCGCTGGTACAATTAATATTCAGTGTCTTTAATATTTTTTGAACAAGATATTTAATTTGATAACCTTTAAGATATGGTATGGTTTTGATTAATTGACAGTTGTTTTGAGACTAGTGTACACAGTACAAAATATTCACATTCAATCTATCAATTCTTTGAGACATAGACTTACAATCAAGTATGTCTTAAGAGGAATATGAATGCTGTTTGAATGCAGAATGGAGTGAAATAATCTGTACAGCTTTGTGTGTTAGCTAAGTTAATTCGTCATTTTGGTGATTGATAATTTACGGTCTTGAGCGATGTAAAACGTAAATGAATCTTTTAAATACTTGGGAATAGCACTATTTTTATACTGGACCTAGTAACTAATCTGATATGTTATCAGGAAAATCTAGTATTTATACATTTTTTATATTCATTGGTTATCCGGAATCCGATCTGATGAGAAATCTCTCGACACAGACAAGCGAGCTAGATAAAATCTGAGAGCACTCTTTACTTCATCCACTACCATTCTAGGCACATCTCACCCCCATGGTACATTAAAACAATTAATTTAGTAATATTAGTCATGCAAGATCTGAAAGGAAATCAAATTAAGGGAAATCAACATAAATCAACAACATACCAGGTACGACGGCTGCTCCCATTTCCCGGCTCGACCTCATGAGAGCAAACCCGATGAGCGCACAGTCAAACAGTGGCTTGGTGAGGTGAGAGTAGAGATGAGCGACGGACGTGGTGAACGCTGAGATGTCCTCTGTCAAACGATGATCTGCATTCTCTATCCGACCATCCAGGTTGCTCACTCTGTAGTATGTCTGGTCCTTGAAGTACAAGGAATACGAGTGGTTTACAAGTCTCGTCCTGTGAAAGAAAATCTGTTTTTATAAAATTGTATTGAAAATTGTTACCAAAAGAATGATGGCACTACAAACTAAGTTGTGGATATGACCTCTTCAAAGACAGGAAATTCTTACAAAGTGATGACGTTTGTTGACAGAATCATCAGTGCACTGGAACACGTGTCAGGCGCTAAGATGTAATAAATGGTCCTAACTAATGAAACAGCTGGTAAGTAACAGGGCTACACAAGGTACATAAGCTAAAAACATTCTACACTTATACTGCACTCATATTTGATTCAAATGCGCACATACGTGGTGTTCCCGTCTCGAATGATAACGATAATACTGCACTGAAGATGTCTTTCTCAGAAGATATATTTCGTAGTGGTAGTGACCAAGGAAGCTTTATGAATTTTATGCAAATAAAAAGTTTTTAACAATAATAATAACAGCATATTGCTAGCGTTTGAATTACTCTGAAGCCAATATAATTAAAGGAAACTAAAGTTAAGAACTACAAAAGACAAATAAATAGAAATCTTTTGTTTACAACCACGTAACTCATTGTTGACTCAACAAAACAATCATTTTTCTTTAAGTTTGCTTTCAACAAACCAATCAACTTTTTTGTGAAATTTAAAGATAAGGTAGCTCAATGTCAGTGGATTCTTGGCACAATGGGCCTACATGTTTTATTCATTACTGATTTGCCTTTGGCCAGGAAGGTTTCAAATGAGGCTTCTAATTGAAACTGTCAAGAGAAACCTTAGTTTATACCGATTTGTCAATGGTGATAATAATAACAATCTTTGTTTGGTAATAAGAAGTCAACATTGAATAATGTCAGAAACACAGTAGGTACAATTGCAAGCCATACAAGTCATTCTAAGGCACTTAGCAAAAATAATGTCAATCCAAACATGTTCTTTCCTTGAAATTTTAAAATTTCATTGAATGTTTTAAATGTGATTGTGATTTAAAATGAAATATATTCTAGTCTATAAAAGGGTTGTTCAAATAAACATACCGGTACGAAGTTTGAATTATTTTAGTGGTTTGTTTTACAATTGTCTATTAAAAATCTGTATAAAATTTAAAAGATGAATCTGTATAAAGATTTATTGAAATTGTGTGATTCTATGGTAACATTATATTTTTCTATCTATGTTGTAACTGGGGTTGCTAAAGTTAAAGTATTTGGGTTTATTAAGTTGAACACCATAATGTCATACTTTTACAAAACAATGCAAAGAGTCAGTACGGTAATAAAAGATTTTATCCTGCAACATAAAATTGCATCACAGGATATATGCGATAAATGATTATTATATTGTTTGCATTATTTCAGTATAATGCATTTATACTTAATAGAACCCCTGACTCCCTGGCATCACCTTAAGAAAAACCAAAATCTGCACTACCCATAATTCCATTTACTACTCATTGTAATTAAATTTGCCTCTCCTTTACTTCAACATATTAATTCAAAATCAAATTGTTCTAATCATGATCGAAATATATTAAGGCAACTTCATCTACACTCAGGTCCCGCATGTAGGGTAGTCGTTTTCTTCTTGGCATTTTTTCTTCATTCTGAGTGTTCTATTGGTTGCAATGCATTTATTACTTCAAACATAAATTCTGTTGAATTTTTCTGCCAATATTTATCAACAGGTGTATTTTTGTTTCATCGCCCAAAAATGTTTCAAACCGATGTATCATGCTTGCAAAAGGCATATACAATAGACATGGGTTTTCTCTCTGACAAGGTATTCTAGAGAACGGATGTTTCCCTGTCGTGCGAGGAGGCTATTTTGTGTTGCGTTGGACTGGTTACGGGGCCAAGGACACTGGGAATCACTCGGCTGTGACAGAAGAATGGAGTCTGAGCGTGACTCGTGGACAAGAGGTTCAGCGTCCCCCTACAACACTCTGGTCACTCCCTTGACCTTCAAATGTCTTGGTTTTAAATGACCAGATGTATATTGAATGATTTTATAATAAAATTTAACCCCAGTTCATTGCCACCTCCTATCCCAGTATCAGAACGAATTGGGATTCAAAGACCAGGTTCGGTTAAAAGATACATGGCTAAATTTTCTTGCAATGCCACAAACAGTTGTTCCTGACTAGATGTTCCAAAAAGGGTATGGTTTAACTTTTACACTACGAGTTTACTGTTTCTTCTACTACTTTTATAAATGATCAATTATCAATTCTTTGAGACAGGGCGCACTTGGGTGCGTAGCTAAATATGAGTAAAGATGAGTATATAATAGCGTGAGATAATCCATGTAGATTTGTTAATGACTCAAATCAGCTGTTTCATTAATCAGGATCATATTATGAGAAGGGAAGCTGGGCCCAGTTTCAAACCATCGATAAGCTTTCAAAACTTTCCCTAGGGTCGAACTCTAGACACCATGTAAGTGTGTTTCCTCTGTACCTTACTTCTCTGTGTTTATAAAATAAGGTGACCAAAATGCATCACACAGTTCACTGTCCCCACTGTTGATCTTTAAGTTATTCGTGATTGAACAACCAGGTATGTTCAAATTACCTCACGATCTAATTTAACTCCAATATTGCACATGCAGTTCACTACACCTCCTCCTCATCTTCCAATAATTAAGTTAATTAGATGACTGGGTCCAAATCAGGCAGCAATCAGATCCATGGACAACGCAACACAATTTATCATCCTTTCATAGTAATCTACTTCGTCATTTCTTCTGACCTTTAAATTACTATGGTTAATGACCAAGAGTGTTTAGTTATCAAGATGTACAAGACTTTTAGTCATCTTAGTTCACTGTATAATCTTATACATAATAAACCCTTAAATGATCAATATTTAAATGATCAGGTTGTATCTAAACATAATCAACATCCTCTCCACACCTAGATGCCTTTGGCCCTAAAATGACATGGGTTTAAAGCAAATGACAATGTATTTGATAAACAAAGTTCACAATCACCTCTTCATAACACTTCTGCAACCTTCAAATTATTTACAACTAAATTACCAGGTCTTATATCTGGACCCATTACAAAGCAGTTCATTGTCCTCTACTTCTTAATCACTCATCTGACCTTCAAATGAACCATCTGAGTTCAATTCAGATCAGGACATAATAGTCACCATCACAACACCACCCATTATACATACTCAACTCAACTAACTCTACATCAACATTCTGCGCTTCAAAAGAATTCTTTAATGACTGAGTGTTAAAATTCAGGCAGTAAAAATGCTTCTGGCTCCAGGACAACTCGATTCACAATCTTCTAAACTCTATGGTATCGATCATTTATCTAACCTTGAAAAGACCAGGTGTAGCCATGAATAGCAATTAAATGACTAGGTGGGATCAAATTATCAGGTGTGGCCAAACATTTTTACCAGTGTTTGATTTCTCAAACTAAAAAAACTGCCTCTTTGTCTTTCAAAGGATTTTTTTTTAAAGTAGGACTAGTAAATTTTGAAAGACTAGATAGGTAAGCTATTAATTAATTCTTATTGATATCTACAATAAAATTCCAATTGATACTGAGGATAATACTGGATACACTAGAAGCTTGCCACAATTTAAATTTAACGTATCATTTTCAAACAAAGTCCTATGTATTTTTTTAATGATTCTCACAATTAACTAGAAAAAAACCATTACAATAGGCTATATAATCTTTCTCCCTTTTGGTATACTTTTTTTGTAGGCCCATGAAATGAAAGTATTGATTTCGTCAACATTTTGTAGTTTGAGTTTCTGAATCCAAAAAAGTAGTGTGTGTGTGTGTGTGTGTGGATCTGTACAGGCTACAACAGACCACACCAGAGGTAGGTCCGATTTTGAAGAAATTTGGTATGTGGGTACTAATTCATAGTACCATCTCTATTTTGATATTTAATTGTGGTTTTCCCATAAAATTAAAATAATATCTTATATTAACTTATCTTAAAAATGGCCTGAACGATTTTGAATTAAATTTATTAAGATAGTCCTTACAAATTTAAACCAAACGGTACAACCATTGACTATTGGTACAACCCTCATTGCTGTAAAGATAACTGTTCAAAATTTACTGTAATTAATTCAATTTCCCCATAAAGTAACAAAAAATCTAATTTAGAAACTGCTCGACAGATTTTAATTAAAATTTAGTACCTTATGGTCCTTATGATTCTAAACAAAACGGTACCATCCCAATGCAGTAAAGTTAAAATTTCAAAGTTATTGCAACTTTTGTAATTTTCCATATAAAATATCATAGCTACTGCTTTCCCATGATAATGTTGACAAGCTGATGGGAGAGAATATCTGTCAGATTACTGATACCGTTTGTTTAATAAGATCAGCTGTATTAAAATCGATCAGCTGTAAATGCCCCTCACAAACATTGAATGCAAGTTCAAGACATGATAACTAAACAAAGACTCGAAGTGACAGCGCCTCTGCAAGGTAACAATGTAATCAATGTCAGAGGCTGACCTTGACGAAGGTGTAGCGGCCTCAGTTATGTAATAAGGATACTCTATGTTGGACCAAGGCAAATCCATCATGTCAAGTTGGGCTTGTCATGTCCTTACTTTTGTTTGCTTGACATTTTAATTTTCATCAAAACCTATTTATCAAGACAACTTTTTAATTTTTATTTTTCCCCCGAAAATTTCATACGAGACACTAGGCATATAGATATATGTTATCATCATCCCCTTCTCTTTCATGATGGTTAAATGTTAAATCTTTTAAGTCAATAGTCGATCAGAAATTATTTAATTGTCTAAAAATAATACACAGAACCAAGAAAAGTTTATTTAAATTGGAAATTTATTGGAAATTTTTATTTTTAAGGGTCTAGACAATAATAAATTAAACAAATTATAAACTTTGTATTGCACTGTATTAGTAATAATGTAATTTCTTGCTTTTAGCTTTGCAGTACCAGTAGTTTATATTTATTTACTACTATTAGGCAGATTGATATGTATATCAATACATAATTTTTTTAAAGTTATGG